TAGTGGGCGATGTTGGTGTCAGTGAGGTTGGGAGGACGACAGATCAGCAATCGATCGAGTTTACGGGGGTTTAGGGAGTTATTCGGGGGAAGAAATGATTTTTTGGGGTCTCCGGGGGGATTTTTCAACCGGTTTTCGCCGACTTGCGGGGCTATGGGGGCGGCGCGCGAGGGGAAATTGGAGTTCGTGGGCTGTTCATGAGGTGAAAACAATAATCAGCTGATTGGGGGGCTTGAGGGGGGAGCGAACGCAGCCGAGGGACAATGGAAGTGGACGCGCGGTGTTGCCGGGTTTACGGAGGAGAAAAATTTTATGGAAATCGCAGCGGCTCCAATAAATCTCAAGTCACATTTTTGTAGAAGTCTTTTCATCACGCTGTGACGAAAAGTTAACTTTTCCGTCACATTGTGATGAATTTCCGCCACATTGTGATGAAAAATATTGTTCGTAACTCGTGAAAAAATGGTTTTTAGCTCGTGGGAAACCTTCCACTTGCCAAAAAACACTTTTTTGCACTCGTTACGAAATATACTATTTTGTAGAGCAGAAGGGGGTCTGCAGAAAAGCTTGGATGAGAATGTTCCATCTATCGTAGATTCAGAGATATTCATTGAAAAATCATCTCCAGATGCAGCTGCCAATTTGTTTTTTTACAATATCTCGGGATTGAAGCAAAATATCGATATTTTGGTAAAAATCTATATATTATATATTATATATTATATATTATGAATCAGATTGAACTGTGAATAATAAACTTTTGTGACATAAGAATACTAGAACCTTCAGATCATTTCGACCAGAAGTCGAAATTTCGTATCAATTCTGTTTTGTAAATCAAATAGTCATGTTTTTGTGAACCTAACGAATTCCAAATTTTACCATTAAAATCAATGTTATATTCAATTCAACTCTAAATCTCTTGGTTTTCGAAATATTTTTTAATTGGAAATGCAGAACCCAGCATCGTCCAGTAAATTCAAATTTTAATAATTTTAGCTTCTTTCAATTTAACGGTTGAAAAGATAATCCTCCGACGCTGACAATATTCCCCGGTCATAACAATAAATTGTTATATTTATTAAAGTAATAGCTCGAGATAAATCGTAGAGGCGTATTTATTGACAGTTCTTCAGAATCGAAGATGAAAAAAGAGTAAATCCGTCCTCAAGTTGTCCGTCAACATTAGAATAACAATCATCAGCCTTTTATTTTACGGAAGAGGGGAAGGGGATAATTAAACCATTCGATTCCGTAGTAATATTATATTTGAGTATGCAAAAATTTTCAGTTTCTCCTTGACAACACCGTGTCCAGGAGAAAATCCGCTAATCCCACTTCGCACTTCAGTCCTAATGACCCCCTACACTTCGAATCACCTACTCTCGTGAAAACCGGAATAACCCCCTGAAATCTGGCACCGTCGGAGCGGTCGCGTTCGGATCTCCGGAGATATATAGTCCCGCGCCGGGACACCAGAGGCTCTGAAACCCGTCACGAGATTTTTTTTCTCCCCTTCCGACGGCCAGAAAATGGTCGCCGTCGACGGTGATTAGATGGATTTTTCCCCTCACGTCTCCTCGCGCTTTTGACGTTTTAGCGGTATTCTGTGGCGTAGTTGGTCGATTGAATAGAGTGTCCGAGCAGCCGAAGAGGCCTCAGACTCCCCGTGAACTCCGGAAATATCGTCCCCGGCTTTGATCCGACAAAAGGTAAAAAATCGCGAGGAGAACTCGTCGGGTGCAGGTCCTCGCGCTCCTTTTGCGGAATTAACGAGGGATCATGCGGAGGATTAAGAGATTTCTGTCGGTTTCCGGGGGGAAAAAAATCAAACGGTAGATCATTGTTATACGGTGATGTCACTTCTATAGTCCTTCGCGTCGTAAATGAGAAATTGGAGGTCGAGGGAGAATGGGAAGTGAGCGAGTGGTCGTGCGTTTTTTGCTTTCGACGTTCTAGACAAATTAGGGGGATTGGGGTAAAATGGACACTTGATTTTTTTTCAAGATTAGGGACGGGTTGAAATGTTGATGAAATTTAATCTTTTTTTTTTCAGTACAAAGAGCAATTCTTTACCTTTGTGGTGAGCCTAAACTGAGCTCTATTGGTACATTTGTTTCTGAGTTATGAATAATTTTAGAAAAATCCACAGGAGCAATTTCCCACTTGTTTTTTTTTTAGAGACGGAATTATTGGGAAACCGGTGATTTTACTTCGTAGGATAGAACACTTGATCACTTGCCAGGGAATCATCTCCAATTGTTATATTTTTTCACGTATTTTTAAAGTGTCAGCATGAGTCAACCGAAGAGAAGTAAGGACATTACGAATAAGGACATCTCGGAGTTGGATGTTTCGAAAGAAGCCAAGAGTTTCATCGATAAAATTCTCGGTGATGTCAGCAAGACTTCGGCCACCAAACAGATCATCATTGGCACCACGTCAGGATGGTAAATATGAGATGATCGATATTCTGAAACTGATGTTTTTAGAGCAGAAATGGGTGGGGCAATTTCCATATTTCTCTATTGGAAATATCTTGGGGATTGATCATGTCTTTTTTTAGAGTTTGGGCTAGTTTTCTGGGGGGAGAAGAGGCCTTTCAAATGAAAAAACCAATTGTGTGAATTTCATTTCAGCTTTTTGCTATTATTTTGATTAACTTTCGATTATCTCTGCAACGAGTGATTTTAGAACAAAATGTTAGGGGACTTTTTTGTAGCAAATTTCATGATCTACAAAAAAGTTCTTGTGACATTTTCTACTAAAATCATTCATTTCCGAGATAAATGCATAATAATGAAAACACCTTTTTGTTGTTATTTTGGTCTATTTTGGCTTATCTCTGTAATGAGTGATTTTAGAGAAAAATGTCACAGGACGTTTTTAAAGGAAATTGAATAAGCTACAAAAAAGTTCTTATGACTTTTCCTCCTAAAACCACAATCTACCTCGATAAATCCAAAACTAACAAAAGCACTTTACTTTCCTCCTCTGCTGTATCTCCTCAAATCATCTCCTCATTTTTTCAAAGGGCGACTGGCTTTTTGGCGATGAAAGTCGGCAAAATCGTTGCATTCTCGGTGGGCGGTGGCATAATAATGCTGCAAATAGCAGCTAATCAGGGATATATCAACGTCAACTGGGACAAAATCCAGAAGAAAGCTGAAAGAATATCCGACAAAGTCGAGGAAAAAATCACTGGAGAGGGGCCCAACTTCATGGATAAGGTAATTAGACCCCTGCCAATTACCCCAGCAATTAAAAAAAATATTCCTGCGAAAAACTAATGCCCATCGAAGATTGAAATTCTCGGAAAGCACGCGGAACCGAGGAAAAACTCAAGGCCCGTGAAACAGGACAGAACTGAAAATGAACATGCAAAATATTTCTGTTATTTACAGATAAGAATGTGGTGTCGGCAGAATACATGCCTTGCAACGAGTTTCCTTGGCGGTTTTATTCTCGGCGTTGCAATGTGAATCCCTTAGAAAATCCCCAAAGACCGGAGCGATAGATCGAACGCAATTAGGAGTGTTAATTATCTTGAACAATTTTTTTTACTCTAAAATGAAGGATACCTCGTCATTTCTTCCACTCGAGTGCCTGATGAAGGCCTACAGGCTTGCCATTCAATTCAGTTTTCATGATTACTACAATTAATTATAACATGTCTTTCCAATAAAAAATTCGAAAAATTTTCGAGAGAAATTTTTATTTATCTCATTAACTGTAAATTCGAGGGGAGCAAAAGCGCATCAATTCGTTGATTAAGGTTTAAATATACTAATCGAAATTTAAGAACAGTAAAATAATTGATAATCTCGATTTTCAACTGAAGAATTAAATATTTAATAATATGGAATTGAATTTCTTACTAAATTTCTTATAATGGAGTTTCGATTATCCAAATGATCCTCAATCTTCCGGTATTTGAATATTTAAATTGATGATTACATCAATAAGTAAAATCTAAGAGAGATATTAACGAATTGAGCTTTCAGTCTTATTCTCATTTTCATTTTATTCCTATTTCCGTACTATTTTCAGTATTACTTTATTTTATTTTACTCTATCATTACGTTGCTGCCACTGCGGTTGGAATTTTTCTATTCTTTTTGTAAAAGCAACGAGAGCCTTTAAAAATCCCCTAAAAGGGAAATGAATAATAATAATTTATGGCTATGGCCATCCCTGAATTTTAAAAATAAACTGCAAAAAGAAAAAAAATCTAAGAAGACTCCAAAGCCCTCCCCTGAATTATTCCTGAAGTATTCCTCCACCGAAAAAATTTAGATGAGTTACCGAACCGATTTTTCAGGTCGACAGATTCGTCGACAAGAAGTTGGACAAAGCCGAGCAACTGATGAAGAACGGCCAGGCGAAATCCCGTCGTTGGTATCAGTCCCTGACCGGTGAAAATGGCTTCAGACCCCGTGAAATTCACTTCTTCCTCGCATCCTTCGCAGCGGGCATTGCGATTGGCTGTGCATCCGCCAACTAGGTAATGGATTGCTGCACCTTGAGTGTCAGCGAACAACCCAGCGTACGTGACCCACCCGTGGACACAGCATCAGTGACAATTAAACGAGACGCCTACATCGACGAGATGATAGAAGAGCTGAAGGTCAAGATAATAGAGATGAGGCAGTTGTTCACTGATTTCATTGAGTCATTGCCATTTTAAACACTTGGCGAGACGAAACGCTGGACTCGCTGGACTCTCATCAGTGAAAATAAACGAATTATTCGCTGATGAGGGGATTGTTATCCTCGAGATGCAGCAATCATTGCTCTTGGTAGATACTCTCATATTAGATCACCTAGTGGAGTAATCGTCTAGTATTATCGAAGTCATTGTTGAGGCACATAAACACGAGTCTAGAGATGTGACCAATGGAGTCAACAGTACTTATTTTATTTATTTTTGAGGGATGATGTTTATTCGACAGCTTCAATGTCTCTGGGAATATGCGGAGAAATGCGTGAGAGTATTTTTTATTCTATTCCAGTTTCTCATGCTATGCCTCAACTATTCAATGCCCATTCTCACTCTGATGAAAGTAATTTTCGTTTTTTATATCGTGAAATGATGGGGTAGTGTTCTCACTCTCGAATCGTGAATATATTGATGACTGATAAATAAAATCATCTCAGCATCCAACTCCAGAATGTTTTTCGATAAATTTGCATTTGAAGTGATTTTTTTCGGAGATTTTTTTGCATTAAAATTAATCGAATCCCTAGTCACACTCCACCAAACGAATTGTACCGAGTTGATATTCTGTCTTTTTACTCGAATATGTCGGGGTCATTTTCACTAGTAGCTTATTGATAGGCAGAGTAATAATTCAGTGTAAAATATTATCTTCTGCCCATGTAATCGAGTTGTATATCGATGTAGAATTAACGATTGTTGAATAGTAAGTTAATTTGGGTCAATCGTGATGAATTGTACGAGATTTAGGGGGTAATCAGTTGTGAGGTGATGATTGAGGGGGAAATGATTAAAATGCTTTATGAATTTGAAAAATACTCGTTGTTATTCATCAATACTCCTGGTTCACTCGATGAATCGTAGATTAATCAGTCATTCTTTGTACATTTGTTAAAAGCGTTTCAGGCACTGCATTATTACTGTTCTGAGCCTTCGCCGAAGGCTTTGGTTTCCATTGCAGAATATGTGTGTTGAGTTATCACCTATTTGTATCATGGTGTCGTCATCCTGAAGAATAAAAACATTTGCATCAGTGATTTTTTATTAATTCTGGTGGGAAGTGAGAAAACTGGATGAATTAAACTTTAAGCTTTTCTCGAGTGTTGAGTTATCTCTGAAACGATTGGTTTTAGAGAAAAATGCTAGAGGACACTTTTGTGAGAAATTTCGTCGGCTACAAAAAAGTTCTTATGACATTTTCCCCTAAGACCGCTCATTTCCGAGATAAATGGAGAATAATAAAAAGTGGTTTGGTGGGTTTTCGAATTCTTCGTGGAAAATTCCCGAGAATTTTATGGAAGAATATCTTTTAGCCCTTGAAAATTCAATTCCTCACCAAGATGATGTTCGTGGAGGTAGAGCTGTGCTGCAACTTTCCCCCTGTGATTCCCTCCTGATTCAATTTCTGGAGAAGCTCCTGGGGATCTATATTCCCGTACTCGTGCTTCCTCTCCTTCAGCACTTGGTACTTGTCGGGGGCTGATGAATCCGAGGCCCTTCGCTTTCCGATTATTCTGTCGTCGAGACCCTTTATCGTATAGACGTTGTCTTTCACTTGGAGTTCACCAGTGACAGACGCCACACTCAACCCTGGACGAATTTCATTTGGAATTATATTGCCAGCCAGGTCAGGCTCGATGAATACTCGACCCTTTTTTCGTTTCAGGGGAAGTTTTATCACTTCACCACGTTTGAAGGTGATTAAGGGACTTTCCTGGAATGAACATGTTCATTTATGGAATTTCATGGCTTTGTATTTTTTTAACGATTTTACAGTATAGATTCAACATTTTCAATCATCGAATTTGTCAATTCAATTTACGTGAAAAAAAATTGAATAAAGTCATGAATATTCAGTCATTAAAATTATATTTTGCACAGAATTATTATCTTTTTAAATACTCGTTTATGAATAAATAATTAAAATTATTTAAATGGACTTTTAAAAAAAACTTATTCTATTCAAATATTCAGATATTTTCTATTATATATATTTCCATATGAAAATTTCGTGGCTGCAATTTTTTAAATTTGTTCAATTGCTTTTTCAATCCCTTTTAAGAAATTAGAATTATTTAATGGAAAATTCCCACATTATCAAATATTTAATTATCTATCAATCGCAAATTTAAATTATTAATATCATACAATTTTTATATTTTGACGAGAATGTTTTATTTTTATTTTATTTATTTATTCATTTACTGCAAATGGTACATGGTACCACATAGCAGTGAGATCCCTGAATACAGTAGAAATAATATAGTTAGAATAATATAAAATAGTATAAAATATAATATAATAGCCACCCCTGACTATTATTATTATATTATTATATACCATAATAATAATAATATAGTAATAATAAGAATAATAGTATAATAGTATTAGATTATAATATTATATATTATACAATTATATTAATTATATAATATGATGTCATACAATCGATTACTCACCCCAACAGGTTCAATAACAAGATCAAGTCTGTGCGGAGCAGAATAGGGTGGCTGTGTGTAGCTCTCAGGCACAACAAGATTCTCCGGCTTGAGATCCCTAATCAACTTGTTCGCCTGTGTGAAATTCAGTGAAGTGTCAATGGGGCAGTGAACAGCCTTCATAGCCAGTGGTTGAAACGGCGCGAGTGCCTCCAAATACGGAAAGTCCGGCTCCGTGAATATGATGGTGTGCTGAGGATTGTTTCCCCAGAGCTGCACAAAATGCACAGCATCGCCGAACCGGAGACTGGGGTGTCCGCAGAAAACGACGCAGGGCTGACGATAGTCCGTGCTGAAGCCCTCGGCCCAGGTGGACGTGAAGTGCTTCAGTCTGGCATTTTTCACGAGGAATGCGTGGGGAAAGGGCTCCTCGGGGAGGTACACTTTGTTCTGTTTGCTCGTCGACAGCCACTCGGCGAGGATGTTCGAGTAGGCGAGGGAGGTTTCAGCCACTGGAGAAATGAAGAAGAGGGGAATCTGGGTGAAGCCTGACTTGTCCAGGTGAGTGCTGAGGCACTCGAAGAGGTCATAAACCACTCCTGACGGGTAGCAGGGGATCAACACGCAGCCTCCACTCCGCAGGGTCATGGCTGGAACGAAATTGATGGAGAGTGAGGGTAATTTGTGAATTTTTAAAACGCTCATTTTTGTTTGTGGAGACTCCTTGTGCAGTGGGTGAATTGGAGATTAATTGGGGAGATATTCTCTGTGGTAATGGCGATGAGAGAGTGTTCACTGAGGACGGTGAGCCATACAAGGAGAGAAATCAAATTTATGGGCATTTTTCCATCATTCGAAAAATAGAATAAATAATTGAGAATGGAATAGAATGAAATTAAATAGGTTAAATTAATCCAGAATGGAAACAAAATGAATTAATCCATTTGATATAATCCATATAATGCATAAAATTGAATTAATCCAATTGTGAAAACGGCAATGGAACGAAAACAACATAAAATGGTACAAATTAATCCAGAATAAAAAAAATTAAATACTTAAATTAGAGCATGCATGCATTCAATTGACTGATGCATTTGTTATGATTAAATTTGTATTCTGAATGAATAACTCAGTAGTGAAGTGGTAAAAGGAGATATGTTAATTTTGAGTATCGCCCTTTTTCAATCAATAGCTCGGAATCTATGGGAGATGGCAAAATTTTTGTTATAACCTTTTTTGTGGAGGTGTTTGAGTGCTACAACAAATGTGATTACAAAAATTTCGCTATCTCCCTTAGATTCGGAAATATTCCTCAAAAACTGAACTGGGAGACGAGTCGACTCATCTCCGTTTACCACTTTACTACTGAATTAATCCATTGACACGTAAAAATACTGAAAAATTCAAACTCACCAACAGTCATGCAGAGTTCCCCGAGCATAGTATCAGGGTTGGCAGTGGGTGTCTGGGTGAGTCCAGTGAGAATGAGCACATTGGCGTGTTTGAGTGTGACCTGCTCCATGGGTCTGGGATGAGTGGTGAGGGTGGAGGAGCCACTGACAAACGCCACTTTCTCGTGATCGCAGGAGATGAGCCAGTTGCTGCTGCCCAGGCAGTAGCCAGAGCTGATGGGGGTGACAGTGAGTGCCCCATAGATGTCCAGCTTCTGGTCGTACCCCACCAGCTGGATATTCGCCAGGGCCGAGTTGACAGCTGCCATCGAGTACAAGTGCCTCCAGGACTTGGGTTTGAGGGCGTCAGCCAGGGGCGAGGGGAGAACGTGGAGCATCTCCTTCCAGTGCTTGGCCAGGGTCGCCCTGGGGGTCTGCTCAATGTACTCCACGAGCTCCTCCATGAAGAATTTGCCGATCTGCAGGGTCGGCTCGGTGGCGTAGACAATGCCCTTGAAGCCCGTCCCCTCGGTGACGAAGGGCAGGGCCAGCATGCACGTGTAATTCGATATGAGGATGGCGTCGATCTCGGAGAAGTCGACGATTTTCTCGAGGGGGGGCGCGAACTCGGGGGTCGAGTCGACGAAGATCCTGCCGCAGCAGTCCTTCAGCTCACCCTCTATCTGCCAGTCCTGGTGGTTGTCGCGGGGCAGCCAGTTCGGGAGGGCGTTGAATTTCGCACTGGGGACCACCGGCATGGGCAGGAAGTTCAGGATTGACTGCATGTTCAGGCCGCAGTCCAACATCAGGGTGATTCCCTTGAAGGTCAGGACTAGACATGGCTTTGTTGGCTCACTCGATAGACAGTACTGCAAAGGATTTATTTATTCATTCATTTATTTATTGATTTATTCATCTACTGATTGATTCATCGATTTATTTATTTATTTATTCATTTATTTACTTATTTAGGTATTTATTTATTTATTGTAGACCCATCCTGATAGATCAAACCCAAAGTTAACATTGGGACAACTCTGGGTTTATGGAAAACATCGAAATTTCTCAGACACCGAAAAATTCTGAATTTAGATTGAAAAAAGAGTAAAAAAAATTTGAATATTTTGAAAGAGCGTTTTTAATTAATATTGAGGACTGAGGAGTTATTGCGATAGAATAATGAGTGATATTTTTCATTATATGAATAATGAATAATTATCGTGGCAAAACGAGAAATGATGATTCCTCGACCTTTCTGAATGCATCAGCCCTGTCCATTTGTCATTTTTCAATACCACGAGGTTACTGTACCTCATTCATAATTTAGAACTTGTTCTGTCGAAGAAAAATGAAGAAAATTAAAAAATTTGTGACTCACCAATTTCATTCTCCCGAAATTATATCCACATTCATTAGTTCAACTAATTATCAAGGTTTTCTCGAAGAAAACTAGTTCACAAACACAACATGACACAACTGGGCACAACGTCAACAACTCTTTTTGAACATAACCTCGAATTCCACACGTCGTTCTCTTCCACCGGTGAATGTCCCGCTTGTTAGACCCAAATCGATCACGAGTAGATTTTCACGGAAAGAAATCATGTCTGAGGTGATTGTTCTGTTCGAGGGGTACTCCAACAAGCTGGATAAAGAGAGAATGGAGGCCAATTGCTCCTGCGTGCTCATCAAAGGGCCCAAAACCGTTATTGTTGACACTATGACAGCCTGGGATAAAGACAGAATAATCGATGGTATCATTTATTCATTTGTTGAATCCCACTTCATTCTATTTTTGTATTTAATGTTACAATTGTATTTATTTTTATATTCAATTTTTTGTGTTGGGAAGAAGAAGATGCGAATTCCTTAAATTTTTTCGTGAATATAGACTCTAATAAGCACTCGTCATTGACACAAATTAAAATTCGATTTTTGCTACAGATTCGAAAAAACTGATATTTTTCCAAAAATCGATTTGTCAACGATCACTCAAAAAATTGTCATCAAAATGGAATTAGCCATGGCTCGAAAAATTGATAACAATACCCTCTTGATTCCATCAGAATATGATGGGGGTCGCACAATTCGTTGTTGAGTAACAGCACATTGTTTATGCGATTTGAATTTTTTTCATGATTACTGAAAGAATCATCAGTAATAGCAATTAAATCAGGGCTTGAAAAGTATATTTCAATGGCTTCTTAATCAAGTTGAAAAATGGTGAGAACAGTATCATTGCTTATCAAGTTACACAATACCGTCATGAGCTTTTTATATAAAAATCTCTATCTCTATTAAACTCAGATAGCAGTCTATTATGTTGAATACTTATTCATATTGATTCATGGTCCCGACTAACTTCTGACAGAACCTGAGTTAAACTCTGAGTTAAACTTTGACTGAACCTTGACTAAACCCGGACTGAAAACGAATTCGAGTCTTGAGAGGGTCTGAATGTAGAATTATTTGACAGAACGAAATAATACGCAAAATTTTGATGACATTTTAATTGATAGTACTATGACATGAAAGAATAGAAGAAGAGAATAGTGAAATAAGAATTTTAAAATGAGAACTCATTCGAAAGCAAATTGCTAATTTGTTTTGCTAGTTGACAACAATTTTATTATCCTTTACACTCAATACTATAACAATTCAACAAACCTATTCGATAAATTATTTTCAGCTCTAGCTCGTCATGATGTGGAGCCAGAGGACATTGATTTCGTTGTTTGCACACACGGTCATGCCGATCACATTGGCAACAACAATTTGTTCCTCAAGGCAGAGCATATCGTCGGATCCTGCGTCCACAAGGGCTCAATCTTCTATGAAAAGCATTTGCAGGGGGGTAAGCTGTCTTGAGAAATTTTGGGTCAAATGACGCCGAAATTAAGGATATCCAAGTATCTTTCCCATTTTGGTACAGGCCACACTACAGATCAACCTCTACCATTTTCAATCATCAAATTTGCCAATTAAATTGCCTGAGAATTTTTTTTCAAAATCAAATTAAAGTTACATTCCATAGAATTATTATTTTTTTATACATTCATTATTTATAAATAAATAATTGCAATTGTTTAAACTGTCGGAAATTTATTTTTTAGGCATGAAACCGATTTCTGGTAAAATTCAGAATATGAATAAATTCGTTACAATTCCGAATGATTTTTACGGTGGAAAATAGATTGTTTATAAATTATTCACAGAAAGCGCTCGTAAATTTCAAAAATTGCAATTTTCAAATTATTTTCTAAATCTTCCTCCAAAAGTAAACTTTCTAATTTTTTTCAGATTTAAAAAATCTTTTCTTACGGTTCAATATCGAAATTCAAATTCAGGCCTGCAAAGTTTAACTAATAAAACTATTCTTAAATGTTCACCGGAGGAGAAATAGCCGAAGTACTTGGATATCCTCGAGTGAAATTCAGTAGCATTAATTTCCCTCATTCTCATTCAGCCGAACACCAACTTTGTGAGGGAGTAAAAGTCCTCCGGACCCCTGGCCACACCTACGACGACGTCTCAGTCATCGTAGAGAGCACTGTTGACGCTGAGAAGGTGACGATAGCCGTCGCTGGGGATCTCTTCGAGAAGGAAGCTGACCTGGAAAACCCGGAGATGTGGCAGAACCTCGGGGTCCCAGAGCTGAGGAAAACGCAGGCTGAGAACCGATTCCTGGTGATCATGCTGGCTGATTACATTGTACCTGGCCATGGGAAGATGTTCAAGGTCACTGAGAAGATGAGAAGACTCGCCGAGTATCAGATTCCAGTTGATTTGAACGAGTCTACTCATGCCTGGAGAAACAGTACCATCGGTTGAGGCTTTTTCCTAAATTTTTTTATTAGAAAATAATATATAACGCTTTGTTACCATTAATTTGTTCAGAATGGTTCACACTCAGTAAAATATTTTTTCAATAATGTCATGTTGTTTATTAATATTTTATTCAATACTTGCTTTCATTATCGCAAGAATTTTTTTTTTAATTATGATTGAAACACAATTTTTTATGAAGAAATCGTCTTCATAAAATCTTCCGTGTCCCAAGATTAGGAATTTTGTGTTGTTGAGGAGAGAAATTAATCCTTCGTAACCCAGACCAAACTTATGATCAAATTTGGGCTATTTAACTGTATCCACTCCCTTATTATTCATAAATCAACAATTAGTAGGAATATAAATTACCAGAAATTATAATTTTAGTTCAAATAAATAGAGGTGAGTATTGTATCAATTTACCAATTTTTCTTACAAGAGGAAATTAATGAAAGAGAGGATTATTAATTTCAATGATTCATTACTCTGCAGATCTGCGGAGGAACATGAAAATAGAATATATTCTTCTCTGACAACGTCAACAAATTATTTTTCAACAAACAGGCTGATTTTTATAAATTAACTTTATTAAACACTGGCTTTAGTAATACATGAGGTCACATTTCAATTACGATTATGGTAAAAACGATTTGCACACTATATATTAATCTATTCTCCTTTTTAATTAAATGAATGACCGCAACTGTCGCATGAAACTCGTCTCGTTAAAATATTCCACGCAAAACGCCAATTCGACAACTGAAAAAATTGTCCTCAAATCCGGCAACAGACGAAAGAAGTAAATCCATTCGTCTTCCGGACGAATTGGACTCATCCAACGGGCAATCACAGCCAAAATCTAAGTTATGCATCAATGCAACGATAAACATCTCTCTGAACTTGTGACATTAATGGGATATCTTCTACTTTCCTTCTAACAGCAGTTGTTGGCACGTTTCAATGATTTCACGTGTTTGATCATCAGTAATATTGTTTCGAATTTTCATTCACTCCTGTGGCAAGATTAGTAACTGAATCAACTGAGAATTCTGCTTATTTTACGCACATAACTGTGACAATTTTTAAATCTGCTTTCGCTTCACTGCAGTGGTGGGGCAAGATGAGTGAAGAGAATTTAGCCTTCATCCATCTCGTTTCACCAGATCAGGGATGAGCTCATTCCATTATATGTAAAATACTCGCTTTTGTACACATCTCTATTCTGAACTTTAATACTGATCCCGAGGTGTAAACTATAATCATCAATTAGAGTAAATGCACAAGTTTTTTTATGTTTCTTTGAAAAACCATTTTTTTTTTATTTCGTTGAGATCCGCAATCGTAAAATTTATTCATATTCAGAATTTTACCACAAATTTTAAATTTTCATGCCTAAAAAAATAATTTCCGAAAGGTTAAATAATTTAAATTATTTATTTATAAACAACAAATGTTTAAAAAAATAATTTTTTGGCCAATGAAACATTCAGATTTAGAATGGTTGAATCTATAGTTTATTCATATTCAGAATTTTACCACAAATTTTAAATTTTCATGCCTAAAAAAATAATTTCCGAAAGGTTAAACAATTTAAATTATTTATTTATAAACAACAAATGTTTAAAAAAATAATTTTTTGGCCAATGAAACATTCAGATTTAGAATGGTTGAATCTATAGTGATAAAACAACCTAAAAGATATTTCGCTATCCTTAAACCGTTTTACCGCTTCGCTCCTCAATTTTAAATAAAAAATAAGAAACTAATATCTTTGAATCTACAACTGGTGCATCTACTCTACACTTTCCACTTAAATTAAATATATATTCACAGTAGAATGAAAGCAACAAATTTGTATAGTTAATACCCCAATGGCTCAAATATTCCGATGAAGTCGATGATTCTAAGGCCTCGAATATCATTATTGTTCATTGAATTTCGTGTGAAAAAAAAATCACCATTTGATCTAGAGAAAACGGGGCTCACGACTGTCGTTGTTCACATCCACTATACAATGTTCATTACTTAATTCGGAGGGGACAAGGCCCAGGGATCAAGTGATCGTGTGAATGCGACCCATTTGCTCCGCAGGTGACTGAAAAGAAACATTGAATTCCAAAAAAAAATGAACAAATAAAAAAAGTAATTGATAAATTAATGCGAAGTAACTGAATCGAGAGTAACTGGAAGATTCCTCATGCAGGGTGAATAAATATTAAAACCATCACCGAAGAAAAATAAATTGATGAATGAAGTTGAAAAAGCTGGAAAGAGAACATTTTGGAGCAATGAGATAAATAAGTATTTATTTCCGGGTAATTGCCAGCGGAATTTTTTTACAGTCAAAAAGAACATTAAAAATTCGTCTGTTGAGGTATCAAACTATCAGCCCTAGATCACAGTATGAACAAATTAATCAGCAATCACAAACGGGATTTTCATCCTCAAACGTGAAGATCACTCTATTTTAAATTCAATCAATCGTAAATGAGGACTACATTCAAGAAAATTATGTTCAATGTGCGATAATATCTCTAAATCTCGTGACATGAAAAAAGTTTAAAAGAATGAGAGAAAAATAATCATCAGGATCTGAAAAGTAAGACGATTATCACCGGATAACATTTCAAGGTGTTGAATACAGCTGCTATTGAATGTCAGACTATTTTTTATGAGTGAACTATATGTTCCAATCTACTGAAAATCCAATAGGGTGAACAGTCCATTAATGGAACACTCGAGGCATGCAGTGAGTTCATGCACTGAGAAAAAATGTATAAAACTTGGAATTTGATTGAATAAAAATACGACACGACTCTACTTGTCATCAATGTTATGTTTAAAAAAATGGAAGATGATTCTATTGCATAGAATATTAATATTTCGCGAATGAACTGTTCTCCCTGAATACAAAAACTTCGAATAATTGAAAGAAATAACACATCACTACTGAAACGGCGCCTAAAGTCCGTGTCCTTTTTAGCCAGACAGATTTCTCTACAATAAATACTTTCACCATAAAATCACAACATCAATAATCACCGCAAAATCCTCCAATTATCAGGGAACAATTCGTCAAAGTTCCAGCTAAACCGTTCTTATTTATCATCTTTTCGCATTCGCGAGGGGTTCCCTCGTCTCCTGAATTTTCTCTCGAATAAATCAACTCTTATCTCCATTTACCCCAACACCAGAGCCCACCGATAATCATTGGAATGCACCCAATATAAATCATCAGCTTCTTCAATCAAAATATTGATTCTCACATCAAGTCCCTCATGAATAAGAACGAAAGCAATAAATATCAATGAGAGAATGAAAATTCTCGTTAGTTCTTAATCTCCTCTCATAACGTTCTCAGAGGAATAAATCCATCCATGCCGATGAGACTCCGGTCCATCCCGTAATCATCATCGCGATCGTCATGACGACTTAATAGTCTCCTCTAGAAAATAATAATTCACAACAAAAAATTTGGATCACGTCATCCAATGAACACAAAATAATTATCGTTTTGCTCCCATGACAAAAAAAATTGAACAAAAATGACGAAAAAATTGTAATGCCCCTCTGTGTAAACATCATGCATTTTGTTCCCAAAAAATGTGCGACTCTCTCGGGAATTTTAATGACGAATAAAATTATTCTTTATATTTGTCTTCATTAAACGTCTACATCTCGAGAACTATAATTACTACAGATGTGAGTTAAAAAACATTTTATTCGTCATGAATTTCGATGGCCCCTCAATACTTTTCGAGATCTTCCCCTTGAACAAAAAACTGAGATGTTTACACACCGATAAAAAATAACGAAATGCTAAATTAGGACTGGACATGGACACAATTTCGAAGCGATAATCACAAGCAAACTCATAATAATTCTATAAACTATTCATCTCTTTTCAACAAATGTTCCCCATAAAATCAAGTCGAGGACATTAAACATAATTTTCGGTTGGAGCAAGCGAATGGAAAGTACAAACCCAATTTGTTAGTAAACTTGTTATATTTATATAATAATCATTCAATCATTGTGAGATGATAAAACAGTGATACACACACTCTCATCTACATTAATGAAAAACCTTCGAGCCCCAAGTTCTCATCACACCTCAGCAATAATAAATTCCAACTGAAATTTTCTGTATACAATAATTTACAAAAAAATAATTCTTTACATTGAATATCATACAGTGATTGGAGATTCTCATCAAGTCGTGTATATCATTGTCACTCCAGATATCTTCATTTATCAATAAATTCTTTTGTCAATGGAAGAAATGAAGTTGTTCAAGTGTTAGTGTTCATGCACTAGGCAAGGATTACACGATAAAATCAGTGGTTAATTGATTAATCAATGGATCAGTTGAATTTCTTCCCCCCGGAGATGCAGTTAGTCAGACCAATGAACGAAAATGTAAAACAATCGAACGAAAGTATATCGAAAACATTGAGATTACTTTCTTATTGCATTCGCTGATGATTATTATCTTCAGGTTAAGCCTATTTAATAGCCCTCTATCTTCTGTTCAAGTTAAGTATGACGTAGGGTTCACCAGGATTGTTAAATTCTGCAGCGTTGTTAGGCTGATAGCACGGATTGACAGTGTAATTTAAATTTGGCTGATGAAAACTCACCGGCTCTATACTCGTATTCCACTCGACGTCCTGTGCTTCGAGGCACAGGTCAGAGTCTGAGTCTGCTTTTCTCGCTGGATCGTCCTTTAATTGTGCGAAAAAACAATAGTTTTACTATTTAATTAACACTGATTTAAGGGGAAACTGAACCCCTGCGTTTATATGAATCTTTAGAATTTTATTTTCTCCTGCAATTATTATTTTTCATTCATGAAACTACTTCATTGACTAAACAGTGCGATAATCGAATCGATAAAGAAATTTCACAGATAGACATTACTAATTGTAGGAGAAAACACAATTCTAAGATTTGATGTAGACAAAGGGGTTCCGTCCCCCCTTAAGATGATTCTATTGACAAAAAAATCGGTATATCATTTTTTCCGTGACTCACCTGAGACAATTGTTGAGCTGTTGTTAAAAGCCTCGCAAGAGGTGTGCAACAAACTGGCAGAGTCTCCAGTAAAGTTGGTCGCGAGTGGGTGAGAAGTGGCTTCATATATTTTGTATCAAAGTCACCCCATATTCGTGCAAGTAAAGCCTTCTCATTGGGCTTACCAGCGGTACTGCCCCCAGCCTGCAGGGAACCGTCTTGCATCGAATTGTACTGTTAAAAAGCAGTTTAAAATTCAACAACAGAAAGATTTCAGTCACATTTGCGTATTTCAATAATCAAGCGGTGAAACGAGACAAATTAATTGATAAATTTCATTATTTTCCAATGAATTGTTCCCTTTTCAATTACTTTATTCCATCAATTTATGAATTGATGTAATTGCTGTGCAACGACTCAACTAAATTGTCTCGTTTCAACATTTCACTATTGATGCAGCTCATTTGTCCCCAAAAAGCGAACAAGCTATTCCATTCAATATTTTCATGTCCATCTCTTTAAGGATATCCAAGTATTTTTTACAGAAAAATCAGGAATATTCAGCGTCATTAAAATTACATTTTGCACAGAATTATTATTCTTTTAAACATTCGTCACTTTCGAACGCGATCTTGACTGTTTTTTTAATTTGATAATCTGAAATGATCTCCAATTGCCATTCAGTTTTACACAGTCCTGGAGTCTCCAAAAATAATGATTGTACAATCAAAAAAACGTCCAAATCCACTGGAAATTGTGATATATTTTACATTATGAAGATGGAAAAACAATCGAGATAACGTTCGAAAGATGATTCACCCTGGCCTTGAATGGAGCTCAAATGAAATCTGATATTCGACAAATGTAGAACAGCATTTCACGGGTGAAAAAATAGCCAAAGTACTTGAATATCCCTAATCAGCATGCAGAATCTACGATTTCTACGGTATATGAGCAATAATGAATTAAAATATACGAATAATTAAAAATAATTCTCATAGAAATTAAGAGGAGCGGGATTAAATCATACGGAGAATAAGCGAGATAAGCAGCCCCAGCTGTACCACAATCTCGATCGATTGCTCTCCCACTCTGAGGTGTCACAATCAATTACTTCGTTTGCAATTCAGAGCAAACAGTCGGTGAAAAAAAAAATACGAAAATTTCTAGAAATTAAAATTATTGAATTTCGACTGAATAATCGAGTGTTAACCTACCGGGGGACTTCGCTCCCGACGCATCTCCAGAGGTCCGAAGCCACCTTCGCCACCGGACTATTCAAACAATTCCAGTTTATTTTATTAATTGTCCTTGTTTTCATTCTCTTGGATTAATTTGGGAATTAATTGATTAATGGGAGGCTCCCACAAGTCTAGTGCTCTATTTTTTTCGGTGGAAGTTACGCGAAGATGTCAAGAGAATCCTAGTGAGTAGACGTGTGAAAATCTATTGGATTTCTAAATTGACAAAAGATTCTAATTCTTCAATAGAAATCCAATAAAATGTTGAATGCACCCATGTTATAACTGCCTTACAATTGAATAACTATTCAGTTTTCCTTCAATTTTCCCTCAAGAACTGAATCCAGAATTCGAATCCTCTTTCAATAACGCAATAGCCAAGACTAGGATTTCCTTGAAATAATAATCTTCAAAAAATCACATTCTCAATGTTACTGATGCAGAATACAATCTATCATTCATTATTCATGCCAGTGTGCACTGCCCAAAAATCCAAGTGATTAATCCCACGATTAATAATCTCATCCCCGTGAGTGCACCTATTCTCTAAAAATTAAAATTAAAATCGTGACTGACTCTAGTTTAACAACGGTAATAGTGCAGTTACAATTTAATTAATCATTACGAACCCCACTAGTGTCCACTGAACTGTACACCTGTGTTGGGCAAGCGGTGGTACAAGAGGGCATAGTAATTATCAAGTAATCGAATGGCAAATTAATATCAAAAGCTGGGGGGGGGGATTCAACTAAATAAATGTCTGTCGATGGCTTCAATTTCGTTGAAATTTGGGGATGGGTTGCCTTTTACTGAATTAAATTAATAACTGGATGAGTGATGGGGCAGGGGGACATAATCTGATGATGAACATTGGGATTTGCGGGTACTTACGTTCCGAACACTTCCGTGGGAGAGACCTTCCACTTCTTCATCTACTCCAACTCTGAAAAATAAAAGAGAAAGAAAATTAGTGAGAAATGGGTTGAATTCCATTCGAATTGTTATTTTACATTTTGTAGTCATCGAAGTTTTGTTTTAAAGAATATGGATTTTCAACGGTATTCAATGAGAAAAAGGTGGCCTGATATGCTTAAATTAAAAAAAAACAATAGAATGAAAAACTATATTAAAAATAATTTTTCAGTTTACAGCCCGGGTGGATTATTTTTCGAACTTCATCTCGATTGTTTTTCCATCTTCATAATATAAAATATACCACACTTTCCATTGGATTTTACATCGCACAGGAGTCCCGAAAAATTCTGATTGTACAATAAAAAAAAAAAAAAGAAAAAAACTGAACATTTTCAAAGAGCGTTTTTAATGAAGATTAAGAAATAAGTCCGATAGAGAGGAAATAGTGAATTGATAATTTATCATGGTAATTAACGATCTGACAGACATTGACTACTGTGACAAATGACGACCTAACAGCCATTAGATACATAAAATTATTAATTTGCAATTTCCTCCCTAATGGGCTTATTTCCCAATATTATTCAAAAGCTCTTTGAAAATCTTCAGCTTTTTTTCCACGTTTTTTTGATGGTACAATCATAATTTTTGGAGACTCCAGGGCTGTGTAAAACTGAATGGCAATTGGAGATCATTTCAGATTATCAAAATAAAAAAACAACCAAGATCACGTTCGAAAGATAGTCCACCCGGGCCTTAAAATTACAATACTCACGGTATTTTAAACCAACTGAGAAATTGTGTGGTCGCCCCTCCCTGGAAAATAACCGTGAGAATAACGATCAAGCTAGTGGTCGTGAGCATGGCTTTTCTGGCGTCCGACACTGTATTCCTGATGGCGAGGGCAAAGCTCATGGCTCCCCTCAACCCAGCGAAGAACAGCATGTGCTGATGGTTCATCGGTATCTTCGGTTTTCTCGCCAAGTTGAGGAGAAACGAGAGGGGATAGACATTGGCTGCACGTCCTATCAGCGCACAGACGAATCCCGAGAATATGAAGCCAGGATCGAACCGATGCTTGGGAAACGTGAACATGGAGACCCCGATGTAACTGAAGATGAAGTTCTCGGCGAGAAAATTGAGCAATTCGAAGAGCTGTTTCGTCCGCTGTCGAGAGTCGGGACTGAGGTTGTTGTAGGTGTAGTGGGCTTGACATATTCCGCAGAATAATACAGCAACAACACCTGGAATTCAGTGCACATTAGCAAGGAGTCGGGGATTCATACGTTAAAACAATATTTTTGCTAAAATTCGGACAAGATTTGATTATTTTGCGTTTGAAAAATTACTGTTTCGTCTAAACGGACTGTTTTTAAATTTCTTTTTTTGCTAATAGCTTCCTAGAGACCAAATGAATGCCAAGTAGTTGGTGCTGAATGCCTCGCAGTCGATTAATTTTACGTCAAAACCCAGTTTTTTTTTTTAATTTGAGTAAAATTTGATGATTTCGCGTTCAAAATATGGTCATTACTTCTAAACACTGGGTTAAATTTTTTTCCCGCTGCTAACAGCTTCCTAGAGACCCACGGGACCAAATCAATTCCAAATAGTTGGTGCTGAATACCTCGCAGTCGATTAATTTTACGTCAAAACCCAGTTTTTGCAAAAAATTGATGATTTCGTGTTCAAAAGATTGTCATTATTTCTAAATGAACTGCTTTAAAATTTTTTCCAGGTGCTGATAGGTTCCTAGAGACCCACAGGAGCAAGTAAATGCCAAAAAGTTGACGATTTCTACGTCAAAACTCCATTTTTGCAAAAATTTGGGTAAAATTTAATGATTTCGCGTTCGAAAGATCGTCAACATTTCTAAAAAAATCATTTTTAAATTTTCTCCTGTTGATAATAAGGGGGTCAAAGGTATTTTTCAAAATTTTCCTGAACTTGACAAGACTAGGCTAGTCAATTTCCTTGATGTTCCCAATATGAACATCATTACTTGTAAAATCCCATTGTTTTTTTTTATTTACCTGTTAAATCCGATGACTCAGCGATCAAAAAAGTACTGTAAGACATGAGGACGAATAAAGCGGACTCGAGGAGTGGAAAGTCCCTGACTCTCGTGAATTTCGTCAGAAGTGCGGTTAAACAGCCCATTGAAGCTCCGATAAATAACGACAGACTGAATATTCCAATGAAGTCACCTAGTGCCTGGAAGAATGCCACTGTCTCGAAGCCCCCAGAGCCTGTCTGATATCTCGTCCCGTAATTCTGAATAGATCTAAAAGAAAAATTTCAGGAACTCATTCCCTTTTTAATCACAACTTACTCCTCTCGTTCTATTTCATAAGTTTCATAAATTCATAAATTCTTTATAATTAATTAAATAAAAAAAATTAAATTGATTAAATTCATAACTTGTATTTTTAAATTTATGAAAAATGCAATTGTCCACTTATTTTATTTTATTTGTTTCATGAAAAGAAAAGAAAAAAAGAATTTAAAACATTAGAAAATTTGAGTCGAGGGAATTTCTATATAAAATATCTCAATAGAATAAGTCGAATAGAAAAATCGAATGGACTTTTTCTATAAAATATTTGTAGCTAGATTTTTCTATTAAATTTTTTAGCGCATGAAGTTTGGATTTCTATTCAAATTATAATGAAATACTATTCATATTTATACTTTATAATCATTGTTTGTATATAATTTAATTAATTAATTATTATATTTAATTATTCACCCGCTGAGGACGATAGCCACAGCATCATTCAACACACTCTCCCCGAACACAAGCGCGTAGAGATTGACATCTACGTGAAGATCATTGAATATCGAGATGATAGTCAGTGGATCTGTCGGTGAAATCAGCGCCCCGAAGTAAAGCGTGTCCAGGAATCCGAACGACTGGGACAGGTGTGGTATCAGTTGAATGAAGGTGTACATCAGTGCTCTTGAAAAATAGAGAATTACATAAAAATTGAGTCACGCTAGTGGACGAGGACTTCAATATTTTTTTTCTCGTTGACACATTTTTAATTGGATTAATTACACGTGAAAAATCTCATGGAAAAATCGAGCGAATTAGCTAGGGAATTCTATAGAATTTCTGCTGAACGTTCAGAGGCAGTTTTTTTCAATGGCAAATTAAACGAAAAAAATTGAGAGTGGAAATTGACGTCGAAAAATTTCTATAGAAACCATCTCAATAGAAATCCAATAGAATTTTCGTGCCTGCATTCAAACCCTTCCAGTTTCCCTTTGACTTTTCATTTTAAATAGTTGAAAAACATTTTTTTAATCGAAAAATATTTAAACAAGTTCCATTATCACAGACTAAAAATAAAGAAATTAATATGTGGAACATTTTTCAGAATTGTTCAAAATGTTTCGCACCCAATTTGCTTAAAAATTGAAACAATACGATAAAAATATCAAATCTCACCCGATAACAAACGATGATATTGTCGTGCCCAGGAGGGCATACATTAAAATGGCCCCCAAATTACGGAAGAAGTATTTCTGAAAAAAAAATCATTAAAAACCGCTTCACAACTCTAATCGCCTCCAACAAAAAAATCACCGAAAAGTACGTAAATATTTACTCTCTTCAAGCTGTATCCTGCGTGAAATATAATCGGTGGTAGAATAATATTGAAGAAAATTTCTGGATCGAAAGTGGCCTGAGAACAAAAACAACATTATTCAGGAATTGGCTGGATTATCAGTAAACTCGTGACCTACGATAACGATAAAATTCAAAATGTACGTTGAATTGTTTATTCTTCCCTCACCTTCAGATCAATCTCGCTGTCTTGTTTGAATATCTCACCCCTGAAGGAGTATGCAAATGTTTTATTTTTAACCGTGCCACCGCCTTTATCTTCCGGAAAGCGTAACCACAGAGAGTCAGGTGGAACTGACTGGTTGTATCTGTTGTCAACCTCGGGTTCGACGCGCATATGAGTGATGGGACTCGTTTTGAAGCCATAACGGATTATTGCACCGATAATGAGGCCTAGAGTTAATTGAAGAGGTTTTAGTTTTGCTTCATTTCATTTTAATCTGATCCTTGTGATCCTTATTCGGACCTTTTTCATCCTTATTTAGACCCTTAAGGCCCTTACTTGGACCTTTATTCTGACCCTTAATCTTCCCCTCGTGATCCTTATTCTGATCCTCATAACCCTTAATCTGACCCTTGTGACCCTTAATCTAACCGTTGATTTTTTGTTTGTTTTGATCACAAAAAATCACTTTTTATTGATCTTTAACATAATTACTCTTCATTCAATGTTGTAGCTTGTGAATTGAGGAAAAAATATATACATAAGAAAAATAATAATGGATAAAATTAAATTAATCTAATTGTGAAGACGGAAATGGAAACAAAATAAAATAAAATAAAATATAGTATAAATTAATCTAGAGATTAATAGTAATTATTATTGTTGTTGTTGTTGTTATTTTATTTTTTATTTCAGTTAATTCCACCTAAACTATAATTTCATTTCTTATTTCGGCTGAAATGTGACATGAATGAATTTGAGAAAATGCATTCTGATAGTAGAACTATCTCTTTCTGTACTCCTGAGAATTTTGGAATTTTATGATCTAATTTTAATGAGAAGAAATGAAAAAAAGCAAAAAAAACTAGACGGGGAGAAATGGAAAAAAAATTTTTTTTCAATGTTTCCAGAAAGTTTTAAAATAGATATATTTTTTCGAATAATGGAAGCATTCGATTATTATCCTTAATAAATTATAAATTATTAATATAAATATTAATAAATAAATTCGATTTTTATTCTTGTCTTTTGATAGAATGAGTGGAATAAATCACAGAAATTGAGAATTGGAGACTAAAAATTTTATCGGATTATTATTATGTAAAATGTAAAATAAAGTAATAGTAATAGTAATGATAATTATAGTTAGGTGAAACTGTATCTGTAGACAACCTCAAGTGGCAAGTAGGGCAGTCCGACTATTGAATATTTTATGAGGTAGATTGAGCACGGATTTATCATACCGCGGGGTAATGAGCTCATTTCGATTGTGGTTCCATTGATGATGTAGTGATTGCAGGGGAATTTAATGGAGTTGCGATTATGTCACAGGCGGAGGGAGGCTGGACGTTCGAGTATGATTAAATTGGAAAATTCATGAAGTGAAAATCAGAAGTAATTAAACGTGTAAGAAGTAATTTGGGTACGTGAGGATTAATGGGGCATTGAGGGAGGATTGGAGGCCCTTTAAAGCGCCAATTGATGAATAAATTGTGGAGGTGAGCAGGTGGATGGAGTGATGAGTCCAGACGTAGAGCGAAATTGACAATTTTCTGGTTGAGATGCAGTGGCTTTAGACACCATAAAATAATTTTAAATAGTAAAAATAATATAAATAATATTTCTGTGGTGTCGCAGAAGAAATTTATATTCTGATCAAAATTATAGGGGAGGGTGGGGTAAAATGGACATTTCAGACTTTTTGTAATTTATTCATAACTCTGAAACAAATTTATCAATTGCGCTCAGTTTAGGCTCGTCACAAAGGAAAAGGATTGCTCTTTGTATTGAAAATAAATGATTAAATTTCATCAACATTTCAACCCCTCATCAACATTTGAAAAAAAGTCAAAAGTGTACGTTTTACCCCAACCTCCCCTATTCTGGAAATTTTTGTTGAGAATTTTTTTCGTATAGTAGAATAACACCTGCAAATAGATTCTCATAAAAATTTTGTTATTTCTCTAGATTCAGAGATATTAATCAAGAGCTTAGGAGTAGAACAAGATTAGCCAATCTCAGTTGATAATCAGTTTTGGGAAATATCTTTGAGTCTACGAGAGGTATCGAAATTATTATGGGATTATTATAGGTCCTTTCTACAATAAATAGCGAGTGTTTCAGAAAATATTCTCCATTAATCCAGTTCTCACGTCACGAAAAATATTCCTCATTATTCAAAAGAATTAAAACGAAATGACTGAGTGTAATATTTAGAGCTTTTTTATAATTCCCTCAATTTCAGAGAATTCTTGCTCACGAAATAGTATTGCAATCGAAAATTCACTCATTGTATTCCCGTATTTTTAAAAATGGCCCTGACATGAGGAACAACTGAGATACCTTGAGGAAACAATGGAGAAAATGAGTAAATTAACAACAGCAATCAAAACAGCTGTCAATCCCTCAACACCTCGATCGAAAAAAAAACAGATCCCTCAGCAGTAACAGGAGACCCCAGGCGACCATAAGAGTGAGCATTAAAAATATTTCTCAGAATGCAAAGAAACATTCAGCAACGTGATAGCATCCAATTACTCGCTCCAACTCCCCAGAGATCTCCCTCTTATCAAACAGCCCGACAATTCCGTATTAAAAAATCAATAGAATTCGATTGAATGCCCACACCTGCCAAAATGCACCTGAACGCCTTTAAATTCCCAAAAATCCCCGAAGAATTCCCATTCCCCAGGATCTCTGGGGGTCACAAAACACTTAATTTCAACTCATTCGGTTTATACTCCATCGAGTGCCTCTGCACTGACAAATATGTTATTGCCACGAGTCAGGCATTGATTCCTAGACATGTCAACCATGACGCAACAATCGCAGAGATAAAAAAAAACTGTCTCTCACGGGACAATTAATCAACAGAGAAAACGTAAGTCTGGGCTATTGTTGTGACATTACCGTAGATGACAGCCAGTCCCGTTTCGTGGAGGAACCGCAGGCGACGATGCTTGAATGTCCAGATCGTCAACACCGTCAGGATCAGGAGAAATGTGTAGAGGAGGAGATTTAAACTGTCGAGACGGTGGAGGAGTTGGGCTTTGGCGTCCAGCTCGATGTCCGACGCAGCACCATGACAGTTATTTATCAGCAATGATGCACACAGAAGGAGCAGTCCTCCAACCATCTTCGATGATCTTCAACCGGCCACTGATGACTGAGCAACGACTGAACTTCAATTCAATTCAATCTTTAACACGAAGCAATTTTTTTTTTTCGACTTTGGGGGTTGGGGCGACATCTCTGGGCCGCGGGGGCACGCACTGAACTACTTGAGGGCTCTGAGGATAAAAAGTAATTTCTACCGATTATAGTGAATCGAGGGCACGGGGTTCTGAAACCTCGTGACAGTGACGCGGGCTCGTTATCTGTGCTTTTAGCGTGCGGGCGAGGATGACTTTTTGGTGACAAGGGAAAGAACATGGGGCACGAGGGAATGTCGAATTATAAACCACCGGCTAAGGCACTTCCTTACTGGATTTTTGCGGGGTTGAGGGTTGCTCTGACACTCGTGCCACAGACTGGGTACATTCATCCTGATGAGTTTTTTCAGTCCATCGAGGTGATTGCAGGTGAGGGAATGACAACAATGCACGACGAATTTATTTGTTTTTATTTTTTATTCAATTTTTTTTTCTAGTTTTTTATTTTTTTTCATTTGTTTATTTATTTGCTGAGGCCAAAAGCATGTATAGGGGAGGTTGGGGTAAAATGGACACTTTTGACTTTTTTAAAAATATTAGTGACGGGTTGAAATGTTGATGAAATTTAATATATTTTTTTCAGTACAAAGAACAATTCTTTCCCTTTGTGATGAGCCTAAACTGAGCTCTATTGTTACATTTGTTTCTGAGTTATGAATAATTTTTAAAAAGTCTAAAGTGTCCATTTTACCCTACCCTCCCCTACTATAAATTCAACCATTTTCGATCATCAAATTTGTCAAGCAAATTGCGTGAGAAAAATTTGAAAAATACCATGAATATTCGGCCTCATTAAAATTACATTTTGCACGGAATTATTATTTTTTTAAACATTCATTGTTCATAAATAAATAACTGAAATTGTTTAAACTTTCGGAAATCCTATTTTTTAAGGCATGAAATCGATTGCTGGTAAAATTCTGAATGCGAATAAATTTATTACGACTCCGAACGAATGATTTTCATGATGGAAAATTGATTGTTTATAAATTTTTCATTTAAAAATGCTCGTAATTTCATCAATCTTCCCCCAAACGTAAACTTTCTCATTTTTTTTTCACATTTTTCAAATGTTTTCTAACTTTGAAATGTAAAATTGATGTACCCCCCACTGCCATAGGGCACAGTCCCTGTAAGGCAGCTTATTGGAATAGACGAATAAATAAATAAAAATGTTTTCTAAAGGTTCAAAATCAAGATTAAAATTCCGACCAGCAAAATTGAAATAATAAAATAATTGTAAAATATCCGGAAAGCAACAATATATTTTTGTCAACACTATTATTCAATATTTTGAGACAAAACATTTTACCTCAGGCGATCGCTTCGACATAAATGTGAACAAGCCCTGGGAGTTCAACGCAACCTTTCCCATCCGCTCGGCGCTGGTCCCCCAGCTAGTCGTAGGGCTGCCCTACTCCATCCTCAACGTCCTGTCCCCCTACTTCTCCCATTACTTCCAGCTCCCCCTGAGAACCCCCTACCTCCTCGTGGTCCTCCCGAGGCTAGTCATCTGCGTTCTATCCTTCATCACCGATTACTCCCTCTACAAAATATGCTGCATCTACAGCCAGAATTACCGGGTGCGACTCGTCATCTTCGCGAGCTCCTTCGTCATGATGACGTACGCCACCCACACCTTCTCGAACAGCATCGAGCTCATCCTGAACTCGATTCTGATTTATTACGTCTCCAGGTCAGTGATGGGATTCCCCCGATTAAATCGTTTGCCACTCAAAATGGCGATTGGAATGCGGAATATGAGGAAATTTCGAGGAATATCTCCGAATCTAAGTGAGATAGCGAAATTTTCGTAATGACTTCGTGCCGAGGGAGAGATTTTTCTCCAGGGCGATGACAATAAATTCCTCGGGGAAACAGAGAATTAGTCGAATTGCAAGTGCTGCTCCCCGGGTCGGGGTGAGTCGGCCACCAGGAACGACCTGAGGAGCTCTCGAGAGAATTTAATCTCAAAAACCTTTAGTGTCCAAAAAATGAAGTTATGGACGACCGGGTCGTCACAATCTATCTGCTATCTGCCTTAGATTCCGAGATATTCATTGAAAACTGAAGCAGTCAAAATCGACTGGAACAGTTTTACCGTTTCGCTACTGAAGAATTCCCTGTTGTGGTCCAGGTGCATGGCGTGCTCCGAGAAAATTGTGCTCCAGAGCGATCACTTCAAGGAGCGCTATGACAAGGCCCCGACGATCGTCGAGAGGGTAAAGTACTATAAACTGCGAGCGTCACTCCCATCGCACTCCCTCAATCACTGCGTCGTCCTGGCGACAGTCACCGTCCTGGGGATCTTCAATCGTCCGACCTTCATCGCTTTTGCTTTCCCACCGATTGCCTTCTGGCTGCAGCGAGGGCTCGGCTCCAGGAGCGTTGGCTTCTGGGATTTTCACGTTCGAATCATCACCTTCATTTTCTGTGGAATACCGACTGCTGTCGCCATCATCCTCGCTGATAGCTTCTACTTCGGGTACCTGACCCTCAGTGAGATCATGAAACTCGAGGTGGGGATGGATAATTTTCTTGTAACTCCGTTGAACTTCTTGAGGTACAACTCGGCGACTGAGAATCTAGCACAGCATGGAATTCATGGGAGGTACCAGCATTTTCTGGTCAATGTTCCACTGTTGTTCAATGCCCTTGGGGTCATTGGATTGATCTCCTTCGGGAAGATGATCAACAGGTGAGTATTTTATTGTTAAATTTGGTTTTTACAATGGACTTTCAGGGCAGAACTTGTCCTCTGCATTCAAGTGACTACCTGTAATGATGAATAAAAACGAAAAAAATCCTTGGATGAAGATAATTGTCTTCAACCAATGGATCATTTCGATAATTAATTTCATGGAGAAAAATCAACTGTTCCAGTGCCTCGAAACGCCACTGGCTGGAGCTCCCCCGCATCCAGAGCGTCGAGAGTCTGATGATCGCCTGCTTCATAATCCCAATCGCTCTTCTATCAATCTTCCCGCATCAAGAGCCTCGATTCATCATCCCAGTGCTGCTTCCCCTGGTATTCCTTCACGGGACGTCCCTGGGGTACGGGAAGAGCGCAACAACAGTCGCCTACACCAACAACAACGACCCAAGTCACCTCTACGTGAGAAAAACCCCGAAGATAATTAGATGGCAAGTGATCTGGTGGATCACCAACATCTTCCTGACGTTATTCTACGGCTTCCTGCACCAAGGGGGGGTTCTGCCCCTAGCCAGTCACATTTTCCACGAGTTGAAAGCGAAACCAGAGCTCACACACGTCCATTTATTCACATCTCACACTTATTCACTACCCACGGCTCTCCTCCAGCTGAAGAATACGAATAAAATTTATACCAGCAGTACTAAACATCGGTATCAACTCAAACAGGATTTCTTCCTGTATGAAGAGGGCAGCAAGGATGTCCCGGAAGTGTACGACAACATTCGGAGGACATTGAGAGACTGCGAGAAGAAATTCCACAATCAAAAGATACCTTACAGACTCTATTACGCGATGCCTGTTAATTTATTCCCTGAGTTTATGGAGCACATTTTGATGAATGGCACCAGAGACTTGAGTTATCAGACAACTAATGTCTTTTATCCACACGTTACCACCGAAAAATTACCAGTGTTGACGTTTAATTTCGATTGCTTTCTCGTGGAGAGCCTGAGTCTCTGTCTCAATCATTTGACAACGAATTTTTCCAACGACTTGTTTCAGTTATTCGATAGCTTTGGATTATTACTGCTGCGAATTGAAGTGCCTGATAATGCTGGATATATTTCGTAGGAGATTGTTGTGATGTGGTTGCCTGTGGAACGAATAAATCGAAGGCTTTTTTCATATTACTGAGGCGTTTTATTTGGTGAAAAAAGTATTTGCTCGCATTAATCAAGATCAACTCGTTTTTTCTCTTATTAAATAGTTACTTTGAAATAGTAGGAGTTTGTTCTGTTGTTTTTACAGATTGTAAGCAGATGGGGGAATCGTTTTTGTGAAAGTCCGTGTGTTTTGTCATCAGTCATTGTCATCAATTCTCCTTCATTGAAAATCGATGATCAATGAGAAGTCCAACAAATACTGCCATAAAATCCCTCACCCCATTCAACAATACAATAATCAATAAGCTTTCTTTTATACAAACGTTATAACTCAACTGAATCGTCCAGTGTTCGCACTCCTCGTCCTATTTACTTAATAAAAAATCGTTAATTCTTTTAAAAACGAATGTTACCCCCAGGAAACTATGTAATAATCTTTAATTCAATGAGATCTTACGAAACTTTTCAAATATTCAACTCACACGAATCTATAATTTACAATACTATAAAATATGATATTACAATATTTAATATTATAACATTAACTTTATAATTTTCATGAGGAATATTTCTTCGCATGTGTCTACGTACGAAAAAATCAGTAGAGAATCCGAGCGCTTTCTTTAAGCAATTTTACTGAATTTTCATTGGAATTCTATTGGAAAATTCTATGATTTTTGCGCCAATTCTTTTAAAAATTATGCAATGTCCCTTTTCATTTTTAAATAAACATTTCTTCATAGAAAAATATCTACAGATATTGATTTTTCTGTCTTTCTCTTGGATTTTAATATGAAAAACAAATAAAAAAAATTTTAAAAATTTACGTCCTCAGAATTTCTATAGAAAAATAAAAATCTAGACTTTTTTCCATCAAAATATCTGTTAACAAAATTACAAGCTAAAATTGCATAATCTTCAAGAATAGCCGCAAAAAACAGAATTTTCAATAGAACCAATAGAATTCAGTAGCGAAGTGGTAAAGCGGTTCAAGTCGATTTTGACAATTGGCCAGTTTTTAGTGAATATCTCGGAATCTAAGGAAGACAGCTAAATTTTTGTCTAGACCTTTCTTGTAGCACTCAATTTGCTCTAGAAAAAAAGTTATTACGAAAATTTCATTATCTCCTTCACACTCGGAGATATTCTTCAAAAACAACTAAGAGATAAATCGACTTAAACCGTTTTACCACTTCGCCACTGAATTTCTTGCAGAAAACGCAAGGTTTTTTCATTAAACTTTTCCCTCCCTCGAACACTGGAGAATTCCCCCACCCCAAGCCTCCAAATAAATAAAAACATAGACAACAAATTCATAATCGTCAATTCAACGTAAACTCATTGTACGTCCAAGGCAGCTCCTCCCCGAACTTGGCGAGATGAACTCTATTCCTCGCCGTATAGACCTTCGGATTGTCGACATAAGCCTCGCACCCGTAGCACCAGACCGACAGATCCGTGAGGCTCAGGGCGATTGGATGCTCGAGACTCTCACCATGGACAACAGCATGCTGATTGACACTCCTAGCACAATGCGTCGAGTAGCAAATCAGGCAGACCCAGTTCTCCTCTGTGCTCTTGCACTCCAGACAGGGACTCCTGACGTCGATTCCACTGGGAGGCACCTCCTGGACGAGCTCCAGATGAGGGCAGTCGTTCAGAGGAACAACTGCAAACATTTCGCCCTCGTTGAGCGCCTGAAAATTCTCCGAGAGGAACTCCTGGAGGGTTTGACCGGCAGCTGCAGCCCCTCGACCTCCACTAGATCCACCAGATCCACTAGCCCCACTTCCCCCAGCGCCTGAGCTTTCCCTGGGCTTTTCCCCCGGATTCACACACTCCCTGACGCAATTCGTCGGATTTCTCAGGGTCATCCGCTCGACTTTCGCCGCGAGATCGTCGATTTTGCCCCCTTTTTCAGTCTTGAATTGTTCGTCCGCTATTTTCTGCTCAGATCCTGGTGTCTCATCCCCAGGGGCTGAGGCCTCAGGGAGGACATTCTCCCTAGGCAAGGCTGCTTGGAAGACTAAATTCGGCCAGAAAGTCTTCTGGGTCTTGAGGACATTCTTAATACTAGTAATTGCACTTGAACAGGGGGCGGTGAGGGGACGCAGTGGAGGCAGGGGATCGTTGAGGAGGGCCTTCGTGCACATCGTCATGGCGTGGGAGATGGAGTTGACGTTGTAGCCACCCTCGAGGGCGAGGATCAATCGGCCGTTGGCGAGGGGTGAGAGCCAGTGGGTGAAGAGACCGTAGGCCTCTGGGGAGACTGTGTAGTGGCCCAGGGGGTCCCCCACGCAGGCGTCGAAGCCTGCGGAGATGAGGACGAGCTCTGGGTTGAACTGGTAGGCGATTGGGAGGATTATCTGCTGGAAGGCTGCCACGTACTCGGGATCGCCCATCTTGCGACGGTTCCAGGGGATGTTGACGTTGAAGCCTTTACCTGGGGGAGATAAATGGAAGATTAGTGGAGGTTTAAGGGCGACGAAATATAGGGGGAAACGCTAAAGGTTATTGGATGGCAGTGATTGTCTTCAACCAATGGATTATTTAAATAATTAATTTTCTTGGGGAAAAATCAACTGTTCCAGTGCCTCGCAACGCCACTGGCTGGAGCTCCCCCGCATCCAGAGCGTCGAGAGTCTGATGATCGCCTGCTTCATAATCCCAATCGCTCTTCTATCAATCTTCCCGCATCAAGAGCCTCGATTCATCATCCCAGTGCTGCTTCCCCTGGTATTCCTTCACGGGACGTCCCTGGGGTACGGGAAGAGCGCAACAACAGTCGCCTACACCAACAACAACGACCCAAGTCACCTCTACGTGAGAAAAACCCCGGAGATAATTAGATGGCAAGTGATCTGGTGGATCACCAACATCTTCCTGACGTTATTCTACGGCTTCCTGCACCAAGGGGGGGTTCTGCCCCTAGCCAGTCACATTTTCCACGAGTTGAAAGCGAAACCAGAGCTCACACACGTCCATTTATTCACATCTCACACTTATTCACTACCCACGGCTCTCCTCCAGCTGAAGAATACGAATAAAATTTATACCAGCAGTACTAAACATCGGTATCAACTCAAACAGGATTTCTTCCTGTATGAAGAGGGCAGCAAGGATGTCCCGGAAGTGTACGACAACATTCGGAGGACATTGAGAGACTGCGAGAAGAAATTCCACAATCAAAAGATACCTTACAGACTCTATTACACGACGACTGTTAATTTATTCCCTGAGTTTATGGAGCACATTTTGATGAATGGCACCAGAGACTTGAGTTATCAGACAACTAATGTCTTTTATCCACACGTTACCACCGAAAAATTACCAGTGTTGACGTTTAATTTCGATTGCTTTCTCGTGGAGAGCCTGAGTCTCTGTCTCAATCATTTGACAACGAATTTTTCCAACGACTTGTTTCAGTTATTCGATAGCTTTGGATTATTACTGCTGCGAATTGAAGTACCTGATAATGTTGGATATATTTCGCAAAGGATTATTGTAATGCACTAGTGTTTTACCTCTTCCAGTCCCCACGACGTCGTAATTAGCATCCTTCGAAGCAGGAAAAAAAGCCCCATTATCGTAACGATGAACAGACATGTACAGAATCTTCGGATCTTCCTCGAGAATGGACTGCGTTCCATTCCCGTGATGAACGTCCCAGTCGACTATCAAGACTCGTTTCAACCCGTGGAACTCGGTTGCATATCTAGCAGCAACCGAAATATTATTGAAGATGCAGAAGCCACAGGCCTCCTCCTCGCCAGCGTGATGACCCGGGGGTCGCACCACCGCCACTCCAGACTGGCTCTCCCCATTCAGAACACTGTCCACTACTCTCAGGAGGGAGCCTGCTGCTATGCTAGCACTCGTCCACGTTTCCTTGTGGAGGAACACAGAGTCGAGGTCACGAGACTGTTTCGTCAGCTCTGAGGGCTTTGATTCAGCTGTCTGCTGCATTTTACCAATGTGCTCTTTGGTGTGGACCAGGGAGAGCTCCTCCTCTGTAGCTGCTCTTCCCTGAAATCATCAAATCGAGGATCTTAATTTTTTCGAAATTTTCTTGAAAGGGATCAATCGAATTTCATGAATATTGACTATTGAAAATTCCCTTAGAAAATTGAATTAGTTTTATCTATTAAATTTCTCTACAGATGAAACATCAAACAGCCCTTAAATTTCAGTTTAAAAATACGAATAAACAAAATATCATTCACATACTTCTAAAACATGACATCTCTCGATCAGCCCGTACTCCTCATGCATCGAGAATATCTCAGAAATCCTCTTGGGTGTCTCCGGATGGCTGTCCTCAGCATAGTTGAAGTGCCTCAGCATCCTGTCATCATAAACCAGGCAGACCCTGTGCGGAGCTCGACTCAGACTCGTCATCTGCTTCAGCAAGACGAGTCTGTTATGAATTTCATTCAATTGAGTTTCACTCTGCACTGGGTAACAGTCTCGAGTCTGATAGAACTCCGGCTTCGTCTCGTCCCCCTCGTAGACGACCTTGGGCAGGTGCTTGACGATATCGTCACTCCCTGATCCTGAGTTGACGCTGTAGGTGTCTTGGTACTGGTAGCAGCCCCAATAGGGCTTGTGAGTGTAGATGACGTTGAGAATTGTTTCGGTTATGGTCGGGGATGGGGGGGCTAGGGTCGATATCACGGGGCAGGGGTCTCCCAGGAGGGTTCGTAAGGTCAGGGCTGCTGACTCTGAGAGGGACTCGAGACAGTAGCCACCCTGGAATGCATAATTTAATTAATTAGGGGGAGAACAGATGGAATTGTCCAATTGTTTTTTACTGTTTCTATTTTACGAATAAATTCTCTTTGTTATCATTATCATTAGGAGGCATTCATCCACATATTCTTGTCATTCTAGCGTGATATACCTGATTAAGATATAATTATATTTTAATCAGGATTTTTTTTTCTTTTTTTATAACTATATTATATCTATATTATAATAATAGATATAATATAGTTATAATGTATTATATTATAATAATTATATTATATGATTATAATAATATAATAAATATATCAAATTAATATATTATTAATTATATAATTGTTCTATACCATATTGTATAGTATGAGTTTTTTTAATTTTCGATTTTTGTGGTAATTTACCTCGAGAATAACTGCAACTTTACCATTTGCTAGGCCCAACAATGGTGACAACAGGTGGGCATAAAATGCTGGGGTAATCTCCATCTCACCCTGTCAATTATTTCAAAATGTTAGTGAATTAACTAATTTTTAAAATAATTTAAGTTGATTTTTCAACTGACTCATAATTAAATTCAAATTCCAGGAGAATTAACTAATTTCAATTTATTGAAATTAATTACGAGAAAAAAAAATTGTTTTTAAAACTTCGGATAAAAATATTAATGAAATCAACAACCTTTTCATCTCCAAGGGCCGAGTCAAAGCCAGCAGAGACGACGACAAGGTCAGGGGAAAACTAATGAACAAAAAATTTAATGAGTATTAATTAAATTACCTCAGGGCAACCGAAGGCTGCGTCGTAGCCAGCTGAGATAACCACGAGATCCGGCTGATACTGAATAGAATAACACAGTTATCATCTCTATCATGTGAATGTTTTAAAATATTATAGAATTTCCTTCTGAATGTCACGTTTACGTGTTCAATCATGAGAACAAAATTTTATATTTCAAACAGATATTCAGGGAAAGGTGAAAAATTCAATGATTCATTGAATTCAGTTTAAAATACGTCATCATAGAAATTACATTCAGAAGCAAATTGTTAGTGTACTATTAAAAATATATTGACTATGTTGTGACGAAAGCAATTTCCCACTTGTTTTCTCTTTTCTCACAATGAGGAGAGGCGTCTGCGCGGATAATATAATATGATATAATCATATATTTATATAATAGTATAATATAATATATTATTATATTATATTATGTTATATTATGTTATATTATATTATATTATGTTATATTATGTTATATTATATTATATTATGTTATATTATGTTATATTATATTATGTTATATTATGTTATATTATATTATATTATATTAATATAATCTGAGCTAATAATAATTCTATCAATTATAATTATATTATCTGCATTTACCTCATACGCCATTGGCAGCAGCACTTGCTGAAATATCGCCAGATAATCACCATTCGTCATTCCGGTTTTATTCAAAGGTACATTGAAATTGTGTCCGACCCCAGCGCCTGCCCCGACGTAATGATAATCGGACTCCCTCAGGTTGGGCCAGAAGGACCCATTCTCATATCGATGGATGGAGAAGTACACGACCCTCGGGTCGTCGTAGAACATCTGCTGGGTTGCCTGGCCATGGTGAACGTCCCAGTCGACGATCAGAATCCTCTTAGCCAGGCCCTCTGCCAGGATCTTCTCCGAGGCGATGGCGACATTATTGAAGAAACAGTAGCCGCAGTACTCGGATTTCATCGCGTGGTGGCCTGGCGGCCTGATGATTGCCATTCCATTCTGAACTTCGCCTCGACAGATACTCTCGAACAGGTTTATTGTGGAGCCAGCGGCGAGGAGAGATAGCTTGTACGTCGACTGGGAAAAAATGGGAGGAAGAGTTTAGTGGAATTTTGATAATGTTCTTTCAGGATTTAAAATCAGGCAACAAAATTCGAGCTCTTCAATATTTTCAACATTTTTCGGTGTTTTTTATCAGAAATTTTGAAATTCTCAATTCATAAAATTCTAATCCTCAATGAAAGAATAAACATTTATAAATCTTTTTGAAAGGAGAACAAAATATCCTTGATCTATTATTTTTCAATCAGGGATTTTCTATTCTAGAAATGAGAACTAAAAAATTTCTAGATTAAGACAAAAAATCTCCATCTATTATTATTATTATTATTCATTCATTCATTCATTCATTCATTCATTGGAGATTCATTGGAAAATTGCACTATAAAAAATTTATCAACAATTGATTTTCCTCCGTAAAAATCATTTCTTCGGAGAACAAATTGAACAATTTCAGTTATGTATTCATAACCAACGAATGTTAAAAAAAATATCCTCAAGTAATATTTCCATTTTCAATTCTCACTCACCGGATGTATGTAAATAGCATCGTATTTCGAGGAGATGTTCTCCAGTCGTTCAGCATCCTGGCAGCCCTCGGTGCCCTTGAGAATGTCGATCTGCTCCATTGAGTGCTTCAGAAGAACCTCATCGATTCTCGCTAGTCTAGGCTCGATGAACTTGCACCTCTCGATGAGCCCGAGCTCCTGACACCTCTCCAGGACCCTCGTGAACCTCTCCGGACACTCCGGGTATTTGTCGTCCCACAGGCATCGATGCTCTGCCATCGAGCGATCGTAAACCACACCTGTTGGCCCTCGAATCATGTTCTTGGAGTCGATCGCTGTTTGGTAGATGTCACGGACGTAACAACTGTCTGAGTTTTTTTGGGTTTTTCTCTTTTGCGCTGCTTCGCGTTTTGCTACTATTATCGCCTGCGATGGCCTCACCTACAAGTGAAGACAATTAATTACTTTAAAGAACCATGGAAGATCGAGGGAAATTGCTCCATTCACCAGAGAAGAATTCTAAATACTGGTAATGGAGATTATTGGAACATTTATTAATGAACGAAAAAATGATTATTATTTATTATTATTAAATAATTATTATTATCGTTTATTATTCTTATTATTGTTATTATGAGTAAATAATAATAATAATAATAATAATAATAATAATAATAAATATTATTAAATATTATTGCACAAAAAAAATTGACAGATAAATCTAGGGAATTGAATGGAAAATTCTAGCGAATTCATTAAGTTTTTCTATCAAATTTTTTCGTACATGTAAAATTGAAAACAATTAATTACTTGAAAAAAGGGGGTGAAAGATTGAGGGAAATTGCTCTATTCACTAGAGGAGAATGCAGAACGCTGATAACGGAGATTGTTTAAAAAATGATGGAGTGAATCCAGTCTTGATAGCGGGAATATGCAGCCAATGGAGTTAATGAAGGATTCAACTGAAGTGCAACGAACAAGCTCATGAAGTCGATAAAATTATCGGCTGTTTTTGTCTTTTTTTGCATGAAGCATGTCTTTATCTTATCGCAGTGAGAGTCATCAGTAGCGAAGGGGCAGAATATAATCTTTCGACTTGATACTTTCTCCATTTGCTTAATTATTTTGCAAATTAGTGATCTCAGGGGGAAATTTTAGAATTTTTTTTTGCAAAATTTTCTCGACTACAAAACGTTAATATCGAAGAATGGGTTTGTTCTGCTGATGCCCTTTTTCCTGCTATTTTCGATATTTCCTTCTTCAATTAATTGTTTATAATCATTCCCATTGCAGAAAATGATACAACCGATGAGAATCATCTGCCCCAATTTATCGGTTGTTAAATTTTCATATGACAATAGATGATTTGCGAATGTTCTAATTCCTATACTCACTGAATAAGATTTTAATCATAATTACAATTCAATTCCCTCTAGAACACACTTTAGAGTGGGAATTTCTGGGATTCAATGTTTGTTGATACTCTGGTAAAAGTGCGTGCCCACACTGTTATCAATTTTTAGTTAGTTCACACGGTAATTCAATTAATCTGTTGTTCATCTCATCAATATAATTCCGTGCGTAGAATATTGTCATCTCGTGTTTTCAGCACCAAATTAAAAATTAAAACTTCAGTTGGAATATTGAGTCACAGCTTCTTTTTATTCACATCAGAAATTTTGTATTTGGATATTAATATTATTTGTTCAAAGTGAAAAAATCGATCATCATTTTCACTATATTGCATTCAGATTCTCCTATCCTTAACGTCAAAAATGTGAGATAATCTCATAATTCTAGCTATTAATTCTAATCAACTTTGTTCGAAGAAAACCTCAGTAAACGCAATATTAAGAAAGTAGAATTATTCTATTTTCCTCTGGCCTAAATAATTCGGACAATTGCGATTCGTTTATTCATGTTTCATAGAATGGTATTCAATTCTCTTTTGTTTGTGAGGCGGGCTTCATGAAAATTGCCGTCTATTCTCCATGCTTTTTTTTAGAAAAAAAAATTAATGAAAGCGAAATTTACTTTAGCCAATCTGGATGACCTCTTCCCCTCGTTGCTCCTGAGGCCCTGCTTGGTCGACATCGTCTCATGAATCTCTTTCCTCGAATTCTCAATAACTTTTATCAGGTGTATCTCACTCTCTGCCAACTGTCTCACCGCGTTGAAAAAATTGTTTCTCGGCTCGGGGTTTGACTGATGAATTGTAAAAACAGATTGTGAAGATGCATGATTAAACGACGAATGACAAGGAGTAAACGGGAATAATAAAACAGAAAATGGAAACATTGACAGGGGTGAAGTGTAAAATTTTATTGTTCTGTTTGTTCCCGACGTCTACTGGAAATTAAACAAATTCCCAGGGCCATTTTCAATAGATATTTGGCTGGAAACATTCCACAAATGTTGCATTTGATTATTTTTTCGAGTGGAATTTTGAGGTTTTCATTAAAGTTATTGGACATAAGGATTTTTTATTGAATTGTGACATGAGAAAGAAAGAAACAAGGAGAAAATATTAATTAATTTCCCTCGAAGACTATTTTTTTTTAGTGAAATTCTGTTGAAAATCGATTAATTTCCATTGGAAATTAGATTTGAACACAATTAACAAATATTGATTTTAAATTATTTTTAAAACAAAAATGTTGATTTAAAAAAAAATTCTTGAGCATGAGGATTTCTTCTTGGATTCTGCCATGAGAAATAAAGAATTCAGCACAAAATCTTGAAGATTAGTTTCTCAAGAATTTCTCATTTTCTATTTCTCATTCCACTCGTTAAAAAAAAATCCCACAAAAGTGTTCAATTTCCCTTGAATTCAGAGACGTTAATTTTTTAACTCACGAAATTCGCGTCGATTTCATTTATCCGAGCACTTTACAACTGAAGTAATTCCCCCGGAATTTCCAGTTTCTTCAAATGTTGAGTAACAAAATGTGTGGGTGGTGGAAAAGGCAAGGCCCAACCAAATATGGAAAGCCGTTAAACTAAGCGGAGTGCATCGTCACGTAATATCCAAGATCACGAGCGATATCCCACCATCAACTTTCGTCAAATAAAATTAAGAAAATGAAATTGTTTCTCACCATTTCTTCACGAGTTTTAACCTTCAAACCTCAAATGGTGCTCTCGTTCGCTGGGGGATCCTGCACTGGGGGATTAATGCACGAATTAATGGGCAGATCGAAGTGAATTCTCCTCGAGGCAGGGAAATTACTCATTGCATTCAATTCAGGGGAATACTTGTGTTTTGTGTTCTGTCAAACAATCGAAACGAAAGGGTTCTTCAACGGATCAAAACACAGGACAGGGGGGTTTTCATGCATCTGAAGGTCGCGATTTCACATGTGAACTGGGTTTACTGAATTTTTTAAATTCATGCGAGAGATGGGGATGATAATTCGTGATGATAATTCCTTTTTGGTGTTTCATTGCTTCCGAATGGAAGCATTGTATTCCTCAAAATTAAATTTTCTAGTTTTTCATGTTAGGATGACTCATTCTGGGTTCAGGAATCAGAATATGATGTTTTTAGAGCTCGTCCGTGTGTGACCGATTCAGTCTTGCCACGATAACTAAAAAAATAATTTTTCCAATCGATTGAATTTGCGCTAGAAATATTCGTATTCATGTTATCCAGACCGAGCTCGATCGTCGTGTCGATTTTTATTCATTTACTCATTCGTTCATTTACATGAAAATTTTTTACAGATCACGAACGGAACAAGCGGACAATTTCATTTTTTAAATTCTTATTTCGCTGTTCTCTTCTCCTATTTTTTCATTTTTTTTGTTGAACAATGCGAACATGTTCCAGTCTTATATACAAACAATTTAATACATCTTCTGTTGAACATCAGTAATAAGAGAATGAAGAATCTGATAAAAATAAAATAAAAGAATAAAATGTTTGAATTACAATTAATAAATTTTTAAAATTAATTATTTTTAATATTAATTAATTTTTAATATTTAAATTATAATTAAAATAAAATAAAAGAATTAAGAATTAAGCTCGATCGATGAACAAATCCATACCGCCGTTTATTTGTGATTTTTCTGTCCAATTCTCTCTTTAATTATTTTTTATTTCGATTAACTGAAGAAATTAATGACTGGAAAAACAAATGGTTAATTCGATTTAATTTTGTCATTTATCATTTTCCTCAGTCTTCAACATTTCTTTAACATGTGACGGAATCTTCGCTTTTCTCCTCTTTCGCACTTTTCCAGATGTTTTTGGCGTTTCATCTTCTGAAGACTTCTTCTGCTTCTTCTTGCAGCTGAGGGAGTTCGGCCCCCCTTTCCTCTTCTTCTTCTTTATTTTTGTCTCCTCCTGGGTGACGAGTCCCGAGCTCTGCTTCAACTCCTCCAGGGTTTGTCTCTGGTGAACGTCCAGATCAACACTTTCTAGCTGACTCTGGGCGTCGGTCCTGCTAGCCTGGGAGGGTGGATCCAGTGTGGGGACCTTTCCGTGGAGATAGAGGAGAGGCACCCCCGCTCTCTTGCGAATCTTCTCTTGAAGCTCCCTGTCTTGTGTTGCTACTATATATCTGTTGAAAGGTTCATTGTCATTGATTATCATTTCAAATATTTAAGACCAATTCAATTTTTCAATTTTTTAATTTATTTATTATTCGTTTTGCTATTCATTTTTTGGTGTTTTATTTTGTTGGTTCCGAACGGAAGCTTTGTAATAGCTCAAATTTAAGTTCCCAATTTTTAGGATAAGGAAATATGAGTTAAAAGTCCGAATATGCGATTTTCTTCATTTTTTTCGAAATGTCCCCATAAGGGATCAATCGAATTTCATGAATTTTTTCATGAATATCGACTTCAATAAGCTCTATTCATTGACACCAATTAAAAATCAATTTTTCACACAGATTCGAAAAAATTTACGTTTTTCCAAAAATCGATTTTTCAACGATCACTCAAAAAATTGTCATCAAAATGGAATTAGTCAGGGCTCAAAAAATTGGTGTTTTATTTTTTTGGTTCCGAACGGAAGCTTTGTAATAGCTCAAATTTAAGTTCCCAATATTTAGGGTAAGGAAATATGAGTTAAAAGTCCGAATATGCGATTTTCTTCATTTTTTTCGAAATGTCCCCATAAGGGATCAATCGAATTTCATGAATTTTTTCATGAATATCGACTTCAATAAGCTCTATTCATTGACACCAATTAAAAATCAATTTTTCACACAGATTCGAAAAAATTTACGTTTTTCCAAAAATCGATTTTTTAACGATCACTCAAAAAATTGTCATCAAAATGGAATTAGTCAGGGCTCAAAAAATTGGTGTTTTATTTTTTTGGTTCCGAACGGAAGCTTTGTAATAGCTCAAATTTAAGTTCCCAATATTTAGGGTAAGGAAATATGAGTTAAAAGTCCGAATATGCGATTTTCTTCATTTTTTTCGAAATGTCCCCATAAGGGATCAATCGAATTTCATGAATTTTTTCATGAATATAGACGTCAATAAGCTCTATTCATTGACACCAATTAAAATTCAATTTTTCACACAGATTCGAAAAAATTTACGTTTTTCCAAAAATCGATTTTTCAACTATCACTCAAAAAATTGTCATCAAAATGGAATTAGTCGAGACTCAAAAAATTGATAACAATACCCTCTTGATTCTATCAGAATATGATGGGGGTCGCACAATTCGTTGTTGAGTAAACGCAAAATTTTGATGACAGTACTATGACATGAAAAAATAGAAGAAGAAAATAGTGAAGTAAGAATTTAAAAAAGAGAACCCCTTCGGAAGCAAATGCTAATTTATCAGCAAAAATAATTATACTCATTTATTAAAGAAATGCAATTATCCACTTGCTTTGCTACGTGAAGTGATGGCTCTCACCTAGACGGATTATTATTTTTTATCATAGACCTCAGGCACTTGGACCCCGTCGTCGGATGCTTCTCGTGGCTGCACCTGTGCACAGCAAATTTCTTAGCGATGAGCATTGCTCCATAGGTCTGAGGCCCCAAACTCTCTGTTTCCATGATGATACATGGGGTAGTCAGGAGTTTCGTTTCTTGTTGAAAGTACTTTGGTAATTGGTCTTGAATATTAAATTTTTCCTGCAGCGATGGGATAAAATCAACGCATAATTACTCATTCTCTCGATAATTATTTCATAAACAAACATGAAGACAGTTTTTATCAATTTAATGATTCCTTTATTCACCTGAAGAGCAGCAAAACAAAACGTTCCATCAATCAGCACTTGAAACGGTGCCCGAAATTTGTAATTATTAACGTAGAAATTCAGGTACTTCTGCACTTTTTTATGCCGAGTGATTTTCATTTTTGCTTATTCACTCGAATTGTTTGGACACATGGAACAATTATAACAGGATTGAGGAAGGATGTGTTTGATTTGAGGTTGAGAATGTTTAACCTATCGAGTGAGCGATTTAGATTATCGTCACCTACTTTGCCGACCTTTTTTCAAAAAATTGCAGGCGGCAATTCTTAAATTCAAATGTGCTCTTCCAACAGAGCTACCGGGGACAAATGAAAAAAAACAAAAAACAACTCTCAAAACGTTGGCGCTAAGTGCAGAGGAGTTGTTCTTATTTTTTCCTTTGACTTATTCATTTACATCGCTGATGATGACCGCATAATGGCCCAAAGAAGGAGTTTATTAAAGAAATTTATATGAGCGGTGAAATTTTTTTTCCAGATGTAAATTATAATTTCATTAATTAAAAATAGAGAACCCAAAAGTTCGTCCCTCTGGATTTCCGGAAAAAATTTTAAATGACTTAATGTATTCTCATAAGTTATTAAGTTTTTTTATCCCCATATGATGTTGATGAAGGCAACAATAACTTAAACCAAACAGGAAATTAATCAGAATAGTCTGCGCATTTTTTTTTCAATAGTAATGTCAAAACGAAATGGTAAGGAAGAAGAAACTTTCAATTTCTCAAAAATTTCAAAGGTGTTTATTTCACTTTTCTCATGTACATTGCATTGAAATTATTGTAGAACTCATCGATATTGAATATATACCTCAGATGGGACACATATCCGCTATCCACTTACCAAATCCCAACGGACTGACGAGCTATGTAATGAATGATTATTGCATCGCAATATTGTATTGTAGGTACAATATTATCATACAGAGCATCATCCCCCAATGCCCCATCAGTTTACATCAATTGTATGCAATTCACATTGATTACCCCGAGTGGAACGAAATTGGTTGAATAATCGTACCAAATTGAATTCAATTTTTATTTCAATAAGCCCCTTCTTCGTAGCACCATACAATAATAAGTCCAATAATACACTTCATTCATAAATCATCGTCACCAGTGCAGTCTCTCATGAAGCAGCAGTCACCAAAAATAAAAAGAAGCGACTTCAGAATAAATTCATTCCATTCCTCACAATTTTCTCTAGTTTCCGCATCAAAATACCACAGCTCATGGATCACACTATATTTCCAAGTGCACTATTTAGGCAATTTGTTGATATTCATGTAATTCATATTTTCATGTTATTTGTTATAATATTTTCAGCAGTTCGTACCGAGTGGATAGCCATGTGTGTAAAGCTCAGACTGGATATCTAAATTCAAACTCAACCTCCGGTGATTTTTCGCACTTTCGCAGATTTACAATTGAGTAATTTCAACGAATTTGACCAGTCGTAATTATTAAAACTGAAAATGACATATTCTTTGTGTTTTGAGGCATCGAGAACCCCTCGGGTACGGCGTCAATACTATTGGAGATATCGACATTCTACAAAATTCCCCACGAAATAGATGAATTGTATTTATCAATACAATGCGAAATGGAACAATTAAATTAGCGATGCAAAAAAAATTGGAGAATTGGAGCTGAGGAAAATCTACAGAAAATAATTCAACAGAATCAGTAATTCAATAATTCAATAGAATTCCGTAGAAAAATGAAAATCTATTGATGTCTTTTCATCTCTCAATAAAATTAAATAAAAGAATGAATTTTTTCGACTGAATTCCAATGCAATTTTTCGGATGTGGACGCAGTACCTGAGGGGTTAAAAAATACGGAGCGTATACATGTGTAAATTATCAATTCATATCTCAATAATTTAACAGATTCGCCTGAAACATAATTTGCAAATACTTCGGTAACAATTTTTCTCATGATTTCCATCGGCGTCTCTTCTATTTTATTCAAATAATTTTTCTATCTCATATTTTTTCTTCAGATCTGCTATTTTCGTCACATGGATCTATCTTATAACTTATAACTTTATCACAGAGTTACATACGGTACCATTTCCTTACTCCTAGATGAATAATTCAAACGAATTTAAATACTTGATTGTTAGGGGGAAAAAAAACTGTAAATAAAGCGTGAAAATTTAGCAATTAAAGTACACTGTGTTGACCTACTCTTTGCGATATTTCAACGGAAAAAATCTTGAAATAAAAAGTGCAGACAGAAAAAAAATCTTAAATCATATGTGATAATGTGCAATGTCAGACGCGGATTTTTATAAAAATTTATTTCGTTATTATTTTTGTTGACACGCGGATAAATTACGACTATCATAAAATCACATTTTCCACCTTCTAGCTTCAACTTAAAAAGAAAAATACCCCAAGATCATTTCTTATTTGCGTGAGAATAAATTTTCCAAATATTCACATCCAATTGCAATGATTGAAAAAATCATTAACCATAAAAAATGACTAGGACATATACAATGGACCCACTGAATTATTGTTAACTTGCCATGGTAGGATTTAAAAAATAATTTAACCCCATAGAGATGTAGAGTGACTTTTATTTTTTACATCGCGTCACACGATCAACAGAAAATTATCAATCGATTTTCAGTGGTGAACAATGTTCGAATGATTGAAGGTTTCGTCTGTGAATTCTAAAGCTATGTCCATATGCAAAACGACGTATACAGTATTTTACAATATCAGATATTTTTTAATAGCAGCGAGACACGTTTCGAAAAATTTCATGGAAAAGTTTTTTTAATGTCCAGTTCCATTTTGGGACCACAACGGTTGTTTAATTTTTGTCACTGAAAAGAGAGGAAATAGAATGGAAAAAAACGTGGAAAATTCACGAGAAAATTTATCAATAGAAAAAGTTCTATAGAAAAATAAAATTCTACAGATGTTCTTTTAAAAAAAATCGGTTAAAAACAAATGGGATTTTCAATAAAAATCCTATGAAATTTTCTATAGAATTCACTAGGTTTTTCTATGAATTTTCTTCGTGTGTGCCAGCCTCTTCACAAATGTAATTTTTTTCAGTATCGTTTTAATATAAATGGGCACATTGTTATCGATGAAAGATGACACCAATGTCTGATTGAATTTCGTAAGTTACGATAGACATCTAGTTAATCATGTTAATGAGGTTAACGCGTCACACGATGTTTTCCATCTCCTCCCTTCCCTATTTTCTCTGCTTACGAACATAATCTACTAAAACGTAACGAACATAAATATATTCTTGAAACTCTCAACGATAAAGTTATGCATATGCGAATGATTTCGTCTCATTTTAGGCTTCAGCGTCATATTATCACTATATTCTTCTCACCATTAACTTTATTCCATAGAATATAAATTTTGTGGTCTCTCTCTAGTGGTCTAGCGGGCCAGCCTGCCTTATTGTCAATTATTTTTAAATGTTCGAAAAAACTTCACGAAAAAATCTGAAGAATTCGCTGGAAAATTTTACTAGATTTCTACCAGTTTTTGGGCGATTTTTTCGAAAAATTCAGCTTAATTTATTTTCAATAGAAATGTTGAATGGAAAATATTCTATAGAAAATCTTCGATTCAATTTTTTTGTTTGATTTTTCGAGTGCGAAGAAAAATTTCCGGAGAAAATATCTAAATAAAGAAAAGTTGTATAGAGAAATAAAATTCTATTATAATTTTTACATAAAAAAAACTTGCAGTGAAGCTGGGAAATTTTTCAATAGAATTCCAGCAAATTTGGTAGGTTTTTCTTTGAATTTTTTTCGCGCGTGCCATCTTTATTTGAATTGAAAAAAAAATCCAACTTTTAGGTCATGTTATTTTTCCCATCCAGAAGCAATAAACATAACTAAAATGCCGGTGCTTATTTGAGTTTTGAGAGAAAACTCGCTCAAGGATACGTTTCGAGACAGGAAAACAGGGGGTTTCCCACTTCCTACTGCGGTGGCTGTGGCTTAACGATATTTTTTCAAAATTTCCTCCAGTAATTTTCTGCGGCTGGTCCCTAGAGAGATTCCACTCTCAAAAGCTTAGCGTCGCCTGAATTTCAATCTTTCCATTTACATTTCCGACGTAATGTATCTCGATATATTTTCGTTATTAATTTTGCACAGCATTTGATTTTCTTTCGTTACGGTAATATTCAGATTAGACTGGGACATGGCATGTTCATCGTGCTTGACAGAGATCATTGTTCAGTGGCCACCCAATAGTCATCTTCAATGATAATCGATATTCGGTGCATGTCGAAAAGAATACTCATGACACAGATACAACTCCATCAAGTCCAGGCGAATGACAGATTATTCCCCTAGAAATTCATCGTTAAGTTTCAAAATTTCGTAATTTTTCGTGAACAGTCTTTGACGAGAACAATTCAGACATGAACCTGACTGTCTCAACTCGTCACCACCATTCCTAGGATCTTCAGAAGTCCTCTCCAATGCGAACCCCTTCGTGATGATGTATATGCCTGCATCAATCTTCAAGATGTGTCTTGCATTCTGAAAACATGCAGCTCAGATGGCTAGAGGACATTCATCATCTTGCCATAACCCCAGTCCAAGTCACATTTGCATTCTCCGTTTTCCCGACATGTTCCCCTACCAGCCCACAGAAGGATCCGGACAAGACCGCGTCACCGCGCACGAATTCGTCTCTGTCATCGAATTTCCCGGTGTTGAGGTTCGTCGGATATCAATAGGCTTTGAGCCGCATACGGGTGGACGGCCCAAAACCCCTTGACTATTTCACGAGAGATTACGCTGATCCTCCGATGTGTCGTCGTTCTTCCTCAACGATCGCTTGAGTTTATCAACGAGACGATTATGAAATTTATTCAGAGAATTTGAACTTCCGGTTTTGGGGGGTGACGAGCCGGTGCTCTTGCTGGGGCTCTGCAGCGAGCTCTGAGATGCTCGCGATGAGGTTCTTGAGAAGTGGCGTGAAGACATTGGAACAGAGCGATGCGCTGGGGATGTGAGGAAGTCGGAGCCGGGGGAGGTTGACAACGATGGCCCTTCGGATTTTGAACACTCCGATACCTGTTGAACAGTAAAATATTTGGTCTTAATGGGAGTCATCAGGGGGTGGACAGTGAACTGATCTTGTGAGGGATCACTAATTCCTCGCTTTCCTTTCCGGGGAAAGGCTCGCCCTCCCTTTCGTTGAGGTGAAGCGAACCAGGAGAATTAACTCCTGAATGGCGAAGAACTAAAACAAATAAATTTTAACTGTACGTGTTTTCAATTTTGTGGCTCTTTTGCACTTTATTCTTGAGTTATGGATATTCTGGGATGAGAATGCAATTCTTTGAGGATATCCAAGTACTTTGGCTATTTTTTCTCCAGTGAAATTGCTTTTCTACTTTTGCAGGCGAACATCAGCTTTTATTTGAGGCCCGCTTGACCCTACGCTTCCGGACAATGATTTTATTGTTTAAACGGTTCAGGTCTGAATTTGAATCTCGATATTGAACCGTCAGAAGACATTTTAACGCTTCGTTACTCGCGCGAAACTGCCCGACGTGGCTATGCACTTCGCGGCGCCGCGTCGTAATGTAAATCTGAGCGCGCCGTTGCCACAATTCATTCGGAGAGTCGACCCGCTGGTCTTCCGGCAGTCCCGGGGGCCGCAAGTGTGACAACTCCGTGTGAAATATTCCCGCGATACGATCAGTCGCGTCGCGGCACGGCGCCGTATTTTTTATTTCCAGTTAGCGTAGGAGTGAATTTTCTCTAATCGGGGCTTTGGCCGTGGTTAGAAATGGCAGAATATGCTTTTAGATAAAACCAGTGAGGCATACAAATTTTTTCATATTTTTTAACGAGTTTTTTCGGAAGTTGTACTGAAAAATTGAATTTCACCGGCGCGGTGCCGTCGACGCGGGTAACGAAGGGTTAAAATAAGGCTTCCGAAGGTTGAAAAAATTTCAATTATTTCTTTGTAAACAATGAATTATCCTTAATGGATAAAATTATCAACAATGCGATTTTGTTTTCAGGTTATTTTTAATGTTTTTCTTCAATACATCAACATTACGGAAGTGAATTCTATTTTGGATGCATATTCGAACCTCTCGTTTATCGACTAGAATTTCATTTTTCTATACAACTTATTCTATTGAGATTTTTTTATAAAAATTCCTCTGCTCAATTTTTCCTGGATTTTATGATAAGAAATGCAGGAAAAAACTTGGAAAACTTGTGCTCAAGAATTTTTTTTCTATAGAAAAATAAAAATCCACTGTTTTTTTTATCAATGTCTCTCAACAAAATGACACGATCATTGGCGCAAAGAATAACGAAAATTTTTAACAGAATTCCAATAGAATTTTCCGGAGAACGCGTTAGGTTTTTCTACAGGATTTTTCAACACGTGTTGACGGTAGACTTGCGTCAGCCTTCTCGGAATATTATTGAGGTGACCAGTTCAGCAATAATTTTGTGATTCAGAGGAATTTGTCAGCAATTGGATTCACAACCACTAAAAATTGGGGGAGGCGAATGCTGCTAACAATCCCATTTTCATTTTGTTTATCTTGATTTTACGCTTCATTCATCTCGTCTTCCCTCTTTCACTTGGAGTGCGCGTGCGCCTGCGGCCTGTGATTCGTGACAATTATTACTTCATTGCATAGAATGAGAAGAAAAAATTCAGGTCCACATACGTACGAGTATTTATCATTCTCGTTTTGTGACCGTTACTTGGACCACGTGACTAATTCCCAATCCATGTTGACTTTCTATGTCACGATGGGCTGGCGCCACACTGGCCAAGAATGAAACCTTGTAAGAATCTGTTTGTGTTTTATTTATTTTTAATTTTCCAAGTTTCTTCCGCTCTATTTTTCTTCTCCTTTCGTTAAGAAAATCAGACAAAGAACTTGAGAAATTGCAGCCGACGAATTTCTGTAGATAAACGCAATAGAATAAACTGTATGGAAAAATCGAGTTCTGTAGATTTTTTCCTATAGAATATTTCTAGTTGGCCTTTTTTATTCGGAAAAAGACGCGCCGGTTTTTCTACGAAATTCTTTCGTATGTGCACTGAATCCATCGAGCCTCATGTTTGTCTCACATTGCGTAATCAGCTTTTCACTACGTCATGAATGCAAAAACATCCCAAGTATTATTACTGAGACTCGAGCCGCACGCAAATCTTCTCCAATTGCCTTTTCGCTCGCCACACGACAATTCAATTGAAACAAATCTCCGCATTTGATTGGCAGTGTCTATTCACACGCTTCACGGTAACTTTTACCCTGGACATGCGGGACGTTTTCCCGTGGTTTTAAGATAATTTCACTGTGGATATAAAGCGAATGGATACACTGACGAAAAAGTTTAATAACAAAATCTTGCGAATTCGCTAGACAATTCTATTGGATTTCTATTGAGCTTTCTATTAGTTTTTGGCGATTGTATTAAAAAATTCCACAAATTATCTGCGAGTTTTTTTCAATGGGAATGTGGTTTTGGCCGATTCTACTGAAATGTTAAATAATAAATATTGCATAAAAAAAGTCAAAAGAATTCGATTTTTCTGTGCAACTTATTCTATTGAAATATTTTCGATAGAATTTTCTTGGCTCAAATTTTCCAAGGTTTTTGTTTAATTTTGAGAGAACTTGGAAAATTCGAGCCGAGGAAATTTTATAGAAAATATCTGAAGAAAATAAGTAAGAAAAATCGAATTCTGTTGACGTTTTTTATTGAATATTTCAGTAGAATCGGCCAAAAACTAATAGAGAATTCAATAGAAATTCCAATAGTTTTTGGTAAACTACCTAATCTAGTCACTGCCGATTGTTAAATTAACTATTTGAGGACAAAAATACTTCTATTTAGTGAATATGATATTGAAACATTGAAATTAGGAGCCAAGTGGAGCTGAGAATGGAAAAATATGCGGTATGAAACAGCTTCCTGATATTTCTGGAATGCGATTCTTCTAGGGGAGCTCAAATTTGATTTAAAGTAATTTACCTTTATCCAAATTATTAATTAGGGGGGGTTGGGGTAAAATGGACACTTTTGACTTTTTTTGAAAAGTTCATGACGTGTTGAATTGCTCACGAAATGGAATAATTTTATTTTCCAATAGAAAGAACAATGATTCCTCTTTGTGATGAGCACAGACTGAGCTCAATTGATAGATCTGTTTCTGAGTTATGAATATTTTTAAAAAAAGTCAAAAGTGTCCATTTGACCCTAAATTCACGGGAAAATTTCCCGCATAAAAAAAGTAAATTTTACCGTGGAATAAACACCGCCTATTTGATTTTCCTGTGCATAGAGCACTGACTACAAACGCGCAAAGAACAACGTACACCATTTAATGGACAGCGTGAAAAGAGAAGGAGAAATTCGATAATCGACGCTGTAATGAAGCTGAAACCAGCGCAACATTTGTGAGTGGAGACTGCATGTGGAGTTTGAGAAATTTTCAGGGTTCAGGGGCCAAACAATCGCAGGAGTAAATTTTGTTTCAAGTGCGAGCGATTGTTCTTGGGCCTTAACAATATTTAAGGTATATCCCGAGACAGTACCACTCAAAAGTTAGTCCCTATGGATTTCCGGAAAAAATTCTAAATGACTTAATTTATTGCATTCTCTAGTTTTTAAGGTACGTAAATGATCATTTTTAAGGCATGGAAGTATTGTAAATAATGACTCTTTTTTTAATAAAAAAAACTGGTTAAAAAACCACAGGGTCCTTAGAGTTTATTCGAGAGGTTATTCAATCTTTTAGTGCCAGTCACATTTTATTGTTCTACAACCAATAGTGCAACAGCATTTGCATGGAAACTAACTTTAACCTTAAGAATTATTCTCGGTCTTTCCATTTTGTCCGCTTATGCGGACAAAAACACTGCTCATGCAACCAACAACTGCACTTTATCCTGTGGTGAGTAAACAAACGTTCTAACGAATGAAAAACAAGTGGATAACTGCATTTTTAAAATAAATGAGCATAGCTATTGTTGCTGATAAATTAGCAATTTGCTTCCGAATGGGTTTCTTGTTCTATTTTTTCATGTCATGGTACTATGATCAATTGAAATGCCATCAAATTTTTGCGTATTATTTCGTTCTGTCAAATGATTCTACATTCAGACCCTCTCAAGACTCGAATTCGTTTCCAGTCCGGGGTTAGTCAAGGTTCAGTCAAAGTTTAACTCAGAGTTTAACTCAGGTTCTGTCAGAAGTTAGTCGGGACCATGAATCAATATGAATAAGTATTCAACATAATAGACTGCTATCTGAGTTTAATAGAGATAGAGATTTTTATATAAAAAGCTCATGACGGTATTGTGTAACTTGATAAGCAATGATACTGTTCTCACCATTTTTCAACTTGATTAAGAGGCCATTGAAATATACTTTTCAAGCCCTGATTTAATTGCTATTACTGACGATTCTTTCAGTAATCATGAAAAAATTTCAAATCGCATAAACAATGTGCTGTTACTCAACAACGAATTGCGCAACTCCTATCATATTCTGACAGAATCGAGAGGCTATTGTTATCAATTTTTGGAGCCATGACTAATTCCACTTTGGTGATAATTTTTTGAGTGATCGTTGAAAAATCGATTTTTGGAAAAATATCAATTTTTTCGAATCTGTATGAAAAATTGAATTTTAATTGGTGTTAATGAATAGAGCTTATTAACGTACATTCATGAAATTCGATTGATCCCTTATAAGAACATTTTTTAAAAACGAAGAAAATTGTAATTGTAAACTTATTTCTTTTTGACGACAATTTTTTGAGTGATCGTTGAAAACTCGATTTTTGGAAAAATAGAAATTCTGTCGAATCTTCATGAAAAATTGAATGTTAACTGGTGTCAATGAATAGACCTTATTCTAGTCTATATTCATTTTAAAAAATCATGAAATTCGATTGGTCCCTTATAAAAACATTTTTAAAAAAGAAGAAAATTGTAATTGTAAACTAATTTCTTTTTGACGACAATTTTTTGAGTGATCGTTGAAAAATCGATTTGTGGAAAAACATAAATTGTTTCGAATCTTTATGAAAAATTGAATTTTAACGGGTGTCAATCAATACAGCTTATTAAAGTCTATATTCATAAAAAAAAATCATAAAATTCGATTGATCCCTTATAAAATTTTTTTTTTTAAACTAAGAAAATTGTAATTGCAAACTAATTCCATTTTGACGCCAATTGTTTGAGTGATCGTTGAAAAATCGATTTTTGTAAAAATACAAATTCTTTCAATCTTCACGAAAAATTGCATTTTAATTACAGTCAATAAATAGAGCTCATTGAGCTCCGTATTCCTGAAAAAAATCCCGGAATGAGCGATCACATCTTGCATTCGAAACGAAAAATAATGACAACCAGCAGTGCACGCCTTACCATCGCCATCCCATGTAAAGCATTACCCCGACTCACCTTCCGACTCCGACATGCCTGGGGATTAGAGCACTCCGAGGAGCGTCTGCTCCGGTTAGTTTTGTAAATATCCCACTCATTTTTAACAACAGGCATCATAAACGCCATCTCGACAGACAGTACTTGCACTCCTCTTCACCGGTGGCTATTATTCTCGAAACTTCAAGTCTGTTGATATTTATATTTATTTTCAATCTTATTATCTCTACTCCGACGAAATTCACCTCGAGTGTTATATTTGTCGAGTGACTCCGTGTTTGTAGTTAACTGACGCACACCTACGTCGCCTTTTCGTACCGTCGATTGGTGTTTAATGCACTTTCTCGGGGTACAGACACCGCAATTGACGCGTTTTGTTCACTTATTCACGTCGGGTGGTAATATAAACAATGAAATTTATATCGATGGATACTCTATACGTTGGTAATCTGCTTTTTCGACGTGATTTTTTTTTTTAATGAGTTGAGTACGAACTTGTCAGCTGCCAGTTTCAGAGTGACTACGCGAGGCGGCGTGCAACTGGGAATTCTCTCGCGGGCCGAGGTGGGGAGGGGTGTCATGTGATTGGCGGATCACGAGGCGGGTTCGCTACGTCATACTATTGCCATTGATTTTCCAATGTTGATACACGCCGGTGACATGACGTTTTGCAACTTCTTTTTTTCGCTTTGCACGTACGAAAAAATTTCATCGGAATTCCTGGGTAATTTGACAGATAATTGGACTGGTTTTGCAATAAATTTTGGCGGATTCTACTGAAATGTTTGATGGAGAATAGAGAAAAAGGCAATAGAATTAGATTTTCCGCTGCAATTTGCTATGTGAAGGATTTTCTGCAGAATTTCCTCGGATTTAATTTTCCTAGTTTTTTCATTTCATTTCTTCTTTTCTCTGCGTTGAGAAAGTGACACGGAAAACTTGGATAATTTGAGCCGAGGAGGTTCTGTAGAAAATATCTCTGTAGAGTAAATTGTGTAGAATAATCTAATTCTGTTGATTTTTTTTTCTATAGAATATTTTCTACTGAATATTTCAAGAGAAAGGGCAATCTCTATGGAAAAGGTCAACAGAATTCAATTTTTTATGTACAGTTTATTCTATAGAAATATTTCTTATTGAATTCCCTTGAACATTTCAATTGAATCCAATAGAATTTTCCAACGAATTCGATAGGTTTTTCTATTAGATTTTGTCGTGTATTTTTTTCGAAATTTTCTTATGAGGGATCAACCGAATTTCATGAATATTTTCATGAATATAGACTTTAATAACTCTATTTATTGACAACGATTAAAATTCAATTTTGCGTACAAATTCGAAAAAAATATATTTTTCCAAAAATCGATTTTTTAACGATCACTCGAGAAATTCTCATCAAAATGGAATTAGTCGTGGCTCAAAAAATTGATAACAATACTCTCTTGATTCGTTCAGAATATGATGGGGGTCGCACAATTCGTTGTTGAGTTACAGCACATTGTTTATGCGATTTGAAAGAGAAAATGGGTTTTTTCATGATTACTGAAAGAATCATCAGTAATAGCAATTAAATCAGGGCTTGAAAAGTATATTTCAATGGCTTCTTAATCAAGTTGAAAAATTGTGAGAACAGCATCATTGCTTATCAGGTTACACAATACCGTCATGAGCTTTTTATATAAAAATCTCTATCTCTGTTAAACTCAGGTAGCAGTCTATTATGTTGAATACTTATTCATATTGATTCATGGTCCCGACTAACTTCTGACAGAACCTGGGCTAAACTCTGGCTAAATCCTGAATAAACCCTGATTAAATCCCGGCTGTTCACTGATTAAACCTTGATTGAACCTGGATTAAACCCGGACTGAAAACGAATTCGAGTCTTGAGAGGATCTGAATGTAGAATTATTTGACAGAACGAAATAATACGCAAAATTTTGACGACATTTCAATTGATGATAGCACTATGACATGAAAAAATAGAAGAGAATAGTGAAATGAGAATTAAAAAAGAGGGACCATTCGGAAGCAAAGTGATAATTTATTTGCAACAATAACTACTCATTTATAAAAAAATACTATCGTCCACTTGTTTTTTTAATGAGAGAAAAATATAGAAATCCATGTCGGGGAATTCTCTATCTAATTTGTAAACGAAACAGAAGTCTAAAAAAAGGTAAATCTCAGTCTAATGTTGAACAGAATAATTCGCATCCTTCAGTCGTCTCTGCGAGGAATTTTACGACGTCAGTCTGTATCTTTGATATTTATACCAAGGTCCTTCACGCACTAGATCAAACCCGCACTCTATAGGGTCAATGAAGTAGACCAGAACTATTCAAAAAACGAAATCCTCATTTCGTGATCGTAAAGTTGAGGAGAATATCATCAGACATTTTCTGTCGGAATTCCTCGACGCGAATTCTCCAAATTTTTCTACTCAATTTTTTTCTTTTTCCATAAAACATTTCTCACTAAACATTTCTATTTTAAAAAACACACATGAGCTGCGGAATTCTTCAACAGAATCGCCCAAAAACCAACAGAAAGTTGAACAGAAATCCAGCAGAATTTTCCAGTGAATTCCCCAACCTTTTTTTATTATTAACTTCCCGATCTATCGGGTAGTCATAGTAATGGCCCCGAAAATTGAATGTGGAATTTCCATGATTTTTCTACACTTCTCGACGTCTTTCTATTAAATTTTCTTCGTCCAATTAAAATCTCGTTGACTTCGAAAAAATAATTAGTCCCGCGAGGTGTGGTTTCCGTCGATTGAAGTAAACGGTGGGGGCCGCCAATAAAACTTCAATAGTACATCAACGCACATGAATCTTGAGGCCGACTTTATACAGTTCTGTTTCACTAGCGTTGGCTCAACCGCTCCAAACGCGCACTGTCCGCGACGGTTCGTCTCGACTCACTAGTCAACATACTCTAGTTTTTAAATTGAAGATAAAAAAAAAGAAGAAACGCTGGTCAACTGTGAAATCGTGAAACTTCCACTGAATTTAAAATCGTCATAGTGCGGCTTTTGCGCGCGTAGAAGTGACAACTGTTTTGTTGAATAGAGTTTACAGTGAGGAAACAGAATATATTAAAATTATGGTGTTTGATCCGATGACTGAGGAAGAAAGAAAACAATTCTTCAGGCAGAATTATGGGACTCACTTGCCCGGGTAAATAAATCGCCGTCATTAATTAATTAATTAATTAATTGATCAACTCAATTTTATGGAATTGTATAAGTGAGAGGTTTCGATTTACCCTGAATGCGGTTGAATAAATCAGTAGCGAAGTGGTAAAACGGTACAAGTCAATTTTGACTATTGACCAGTTTTCAATGAATATCTCGGAATCTAATGGAGATAGCAAAATTTTTGTTATAACCTTTTTTGTAGAGCCGATTGAGAGCTACAACAAATGTAATTACGAAAATTTCGCTATCTCCCTTAGATTCGAAAATATTTCTGAAAAACTCAACGAGGAGATAAGTCCACTTAAACCGTTTTACCACTTTGCTACTGAAATGTAAATTATTCTACAAATTATATTGAAGTTCGATGGGGAAAAAAAATTGATTGTGCGAAATTTTGAGAAAGTCATTGTAAATGCGAAATTTTTTCGCTGTTTAAAGACAAATAAATATTGAAATAACAAATTCCCGCGGAAGATATTGATCTGTTGTTTATTTTTAGAAAAATGCAACTGATTTTGCGGAACAATTGTCCGGGTGAATTGACACAGAAATAAAGAATGTTCATCAAATTCAATATCACGTGAATAATTGACACTGGCGGTACGGATACTGGCGAAGGGGTTGTACCAGCCCAGTACCAGGCAACTGGTTATATACATATCACACAAATGTTCAACTACACTAAATGTTCAGCTTTGCATCACGCACAGGAGGATTTTTATTTTTTCCTGGATTGTTGTTCCCTCGTACATTTGGAGGAGCCTCTATTCTCGTGAATATCGATTTAAGGATATCAAGTAGATTTTGAAGGTGATACAGACCACTCTGTAGATTCAACGATTTTTAATCAACAAATCTGTCAATTAAATTGCGCGAGGACGTGAAAAAAATCATAATATTCAGTCGTTAAAATTACATTTTGCCCAGAATTATTATTTTTTGCTTCCGAGTGGAAACTTTGTAATCGTTCAAATTTAAATTTTGGATTTTCTGTGTTATATCGACTCGGTATGAATGAATAGACGAAATTGAATCTTTTTCTTTAAAATGTACAATGAATTATACATGACAGAAGGGAATGACGTGCAAAATGACCATCCGGAAGCGAATTGCTAATTTATTAGAAAAAATAGCCAAAGGACTTGGATATCCTTAACACATGGGGCTTGTCCTGAGACTGGAAATCTTGGAAAATTTAATCAATATTTCTCTGCACGTGTTCACTATTTTTTTTCGAAAAATCTTGGTCGATCCTTCTCGAGTTATTTCATTTCCCACTATCTATCACCTCTTACGACGAAATTCGTTCGTGTGTGACGCGTGTAACATATTGATACATTTCTTATTGACTTATTTGCCTTCGCAGATACACTGGACACTGTCCGACTCTGAAATTTCGAGTTGGCAAGCGATTTGGCGCGAATACTCAGGAGATTATGGAGGTCAGTGCAAGAAAGCTTTGTATGCTTTTAACAGAAAGTTATAAAGCACCCGGAGGAAAAATTTTCGGAAGAAATAGCGGAGAAAATGACGTAAAAATAGGAAAAAAAATACATAAAATGTCACGCAATTTTGCCTATTGTTCATTGCTCTTGACATGTTTATTACTCTCATTCATGAAAAACGCATTTTCAACATAAAAATATTGAAAAATAATGCGATGGTGGAAGGAGTAATCATAATCATAAAAAATCATTAAAAAACAGAGAATTCTATAGAAAATGAATTACAGAGAATTTTAGAATTTTATTCTATAGAGAATAAAAGTAATAAAAAAATCATATAAAAACCTGGGGAATTCTATAGAAAATGCCATTGAATTTTTACTGAACTTCGTTTGGAAATTCTACGAGTTTTTCGCTGATTCTAAAAAAAAAACACTTTATCCCCACTACCGCTTCGAACAGCGAACTTGCCAAGTATAAAATAAAAAAAAAGGATGTTACATACTAACAAACACAATATACTATTTGTCACAATATGAAATTAAATGAATCCTGAAAATTGACGTCACCATTATTACCCTATAAATGAGGCAATGAAAAATACATTTTGCTCCATCACTGATAAGAAAGGTAATCAAATTGTGATTTCCTGTACGAACCGTTAATACGGAATTAAAAAGTAGTTCGTAAACCATTACAGATTACAGACGTAATTGCAATTTAATTTTGTTTTGACCATTAATGAGGTGGAGAAATATTATCGATGGAATATTATTTTCCGGTCAATCGCTCCTGAGTCATGCCCAAAAATAGAAAACAAACAAATCATTAGAGAATTTGAGCCGAGAAATTTCTATAAAAATATTTCAGTAGAATAAATTGTAGCGGAAATTCGAATTCTATTCATTTTTTCGATAGAATATTTTCCATTGAGTAATTTGATTGAATATAAAACGCACAGATAAGCTGCGAAATTGTTGCTGTTCAGAAATGATTTCAAGAGACATCAAGTCAAATGAAAAAAACAACATTGCGTCGTTTCGCTAATTATTTTAGCTTCATCAGGCTCATTAATCGAGTCGTCAGTCTGATGAAGCTAAAATAATTAGCGAAACGCCGCAAAATAACGATTGGATGAATGTTGTTTTAATTTTCTCTATCACTTCATTCCCTTCAGTTATTCATTTTCATTTCAATAAATCATTGAAAAGAATTCCATTTTTCTGTACACCTTATTCTATTGAGATATTTTCTACAGAATTTCGCGGCTACAATTTTCACTACAAGTTTAATTAGATTAAGGGGAAGAAGAGCGAAGGCGACCGGCATTTAGACCCCCCCTATAAAAATGTCCCGTAACAAAAAGAATTGACGAAAATAAATGCGAAATAGAGGGACAAAAAATCGAAAGTTTGAGCCGAGGAAATTTTATGAAAAATATTTCAATAGAATAAGTTGTATATAAAAATTGAATTCCATCGACTATTCCTACAGAATATTTTCCATCGAACATTTCAGTAGAATCAACCAAAAACTAATAATAAATTTAACAGAAATCCGATATCCTCTAGCGGAGTCCAGCAGATTCGCTCGGTTTTTCTATAAAATATTTCGTTCGTGAAACTAAGGGGAAATTTTCCGCAATTGCGACGATTCGCTAAGCATTTCAGTTTCTTATGGCCGGGGAAAAATCACACTGAATTTTATTTCAGGAACTTTTGCAGAAACAAGTCTTGAAGACCGGGCCCTATCGCCCAAATTCGAGCAGAGACCCCGCGCTGCTGTTCGACAAGGAAAAACGCACGAGGAGAAATTACCGGAACGACCGGTCTCTGTACAAACCGCCGCCGTTCATCCTGGGGTACACGGGGTACATCCCAGGGTTCAATAAAAAGTACGGGCTCTCCTTCATGCGCGCCGTCGAAGAGGGCGGCAAGGAGTGGCGCGAGACGCAGAATAAACTCCGCACACGGGGAGACGTAATGCGTGCTCATGTGGAGCGAACTAACCCGAGGAATTTAGCGTCTCGCGTTAGGAATGACAACGTCAATGTTGAAATCAATCATGGCCATCAACAGGATCCATCATTTTTCGGTGAGATTATGGACGGGAACTCGTCTTCCGGATAATTCACACCAGACGGTGCCTTTCAGGATGAAAATATCTCATACAGAGGAAAATTTATCAACAAATATTTTATCCCCAAGTTTCAAGATTGCTATCATATCGTTATCATTGTTTCATTTAAGGGTTCATTTGTTGTCTGTGATTATTAGACAACCGAAACGAAAAACTACTATCCCACATTTGATTCCACGACTTTTCTTCCCCGACAAAATTTCCTGGACAAAATTTCCCCCCGAAATCTCCTCGTGCCATTTTTTCCTCGGCTTTTTTTCCCCGACATTTCTTCCTGAAAAACGCATGATAACACGAATTTTCGCCCTCTCATTCCCGGCTAATTCATGCAATTCATTTATTTACGGAGAAGGAAAAATGTACAGCTAATAACCCTCAATCAATCAATCTTTTCAATCTTGAAAAATAATTGACCATTACCATTCTCCATAAGGAGGAAGGGCGAAATTTGGCTGCGCATGACAGTCGTTCGTCCTCTCGTTCCCTCGAATTGAGAAATCTTTTTAATACTGTAAAATGCTTGATAAAACCCAATTTGATTATTTTCACAGGGAACCAAGTGTCTCCAGAGAGTCCCCCGATAGTCGGATACACAGGGCACATCCCGGGTGCTCGAAGCGAGGTGGCATTATCCCGAAGATATGCCCAAGCCGCCCGCAAGGGTCTCGAGCTCTTGCAACACGAACGAGAAAGCAGGTGCTGCAGAGTCAAAGACTCAGAAGCAGTCCAAAGGGTGTTGGACTCAGTGTACATCGATGACACAGGCCACACAAGGGCATAAACATCATCACTGAAATACAAAAACTTTATTCCAAACTTATGTAACATAATACTTCTGTTCACAACTCATTCACAAGTTCAGTTGATGAATAAATTACCCTGAATGTTATTTTCAAACGAAAATAATTCTTCAGAAACAGCAAGATCTGCAGAAACAGTGATGCTGGCTTCATTTCTCACCCGTGAGAACTGAAGTTGAGCAATTACACAACCGAAAATACAGTACCTCTTTAATTGAATGCATTTTAACGTAACTGAGTAGAAAAAGGACGTTTTTTTGTATAAAAAAGTTTTAATGAAGCTAAAGTTGAAAGAATGGGGTTTTTTGGAGGTTTTTCATTTTGCTCGTTTGCGCAATCTCGCCAAACGTTCAAGTTCCTTCTTGAAAGTGTCCCTCCAGCGTTCGAGAGTTAATGAACTTTCCCCGTGGGACAGGGCCATCAACCTGGCGAGAACCATCAACGAATGGAGATTGTCTGCGTTTATTTTATCGTCCAATTGGCGCAATTTCACAAAATCCTCTTGAATCGTCTGAAAAGTCATCACTCATTGATTTTATTTTGTAATATGCAAATAAGTACAAATAAAAAAATAAAAACAAAAATTAAAAAAATAAAGAACATTTAAATAATGAAATAAAATAAAAATAAATTCAAAGAAATTGAAATAAATATTCAAATCATTTTTTGCAAAACTCACATCTGCAATGGCCTGGTCGATCTGAAAATCCAGCAGTTGCAACTGCTTGAAATATTTTCGCACATCATTTAATCGATCTTCATCCTTCAGGAACTGCTCTACGAGCTGAAGAACTTGGGGATATCGATTCTCAATGTCTGAATCGATGTTCAAAGGCACTTGAACCATGCACTGAAACATCACGTAATTTTTTAGGAGTTACATAACAATTTTGTGGGAGTCAAGAGGGGATTCACTCACTGGGAGGAAGGATTTGGTTTCCGATAGTATCAGAACCGGAATGTCCATTTCGTATTCCATCGTGTAGAATTTGAAATCGTAGGTGACTTTCTGGAGAGTCAACAAATTGTCGATTGCTTGGTAGTTCTTTCTTCCCTCTTGGGAGAGTTTGCCAGCTGTTAGTTTAGTCTCGTCGATCACTAGATGAGTGTTGTTACTCAATTGGAGGGTGCCACTCGTCAATCGGTTGCACTCGTAATCCTTTCTACATTTTTTTTTCGTTTTTAGAAATTTTTTTTAAGGGATCAAGCGAATTTCATGAATTTTTTCATAAATATAGATTTTATAATTAATAATCACAATTTTACAATCATAATTTTTAGAGACTTTTAAAATTATTAAATTATAATAATTTTAGCATTAAAATGATTAATAATGCTATAATTTTAATCATTTTAATGATAAAATTATAAAAAAACAACCAAGATTACGTAAAAAAGATAATGAACATTGGGCTGAATTGAAAAAATTGAAAAAAAAATTGATTGAATTTTGAAGAATAGAAAAAAAATGTTGAATATAATACATAATTCAACAATTCACTTTCGCGAAGACCTCTTGTCACTCTCATCTGTAATTCTACCTCACGCTCCAATTATTCATAATTTTTCAATCAATAATCTTTAAATTCTGACTCGTAACAGCATAATATCTGAGACGACGATACCAGAATTATTTTAATCTCACGTATTACAATGGGTAATCTTGGAGACTTACTTTGGAATGAGACAGCCATCATTCAAATTATCCAGTGTGCATAGAAAGTAGTGGCTCTTGGAGACAATTTCGGTCAGCAAGTTATAAAAACTTTTGGGAAAATTGGGAAATTTCTCAACTGAGAAATGAGTTATGTTGAGAGGATAATTTCCCAAGCATAAATCGTTTCTTCTCATGTATCTGAAACAAAAAAAAATATAATTCAAACGGAGAAGGAGAAGAACCGGAATGCGAAAGCTGTTAAAGAAATGAATGAACTTACATTTTAGATAACAAATGAGCAATAAGGAAATCTGCTGCTAAATCATCTCCGAAGAGAATCTGACTAAAAACCTTATGCAGATCACTCCTAACGGCGCCAACGCTGGGCAATAGTCGAAGCGATGATTCCACAGGTAAATCTTCAGATGATTGAGTGATTGCGATAGCGTGTAACCGAGGAATTAACGATGCGGGTGGATTGTGGGCTCGAATTTCCGCATCGTCAGTGAATTCTTCTGGATCGCAAATTGTGTGGACCGTCGGATCCAGAGATATGAAGCCAACGACATCCACTACTTGATTCAATTTGAATGAGGCATCTTCTTCGTAAACCTGAGAATTATATAAAAGAAAAAGAATATAATTATTCCACTAAAAACAAGTGGGAAATTGCTCTTGTCTTCATATGATAAAAATATTCATAACTCAGAAACAGATTTATCAATTGAGTTCATTCTAAGCTCATCACAAAGAGGAATCATTGTTTTTCAATTGGAAAATAAAATTATTCCATTTCATGAACAATTCAATACGTCATGAATATTTCAAAAAAAGTCAAAAGTGTCCGTTTTACCCTACCCTCCCCTAGTTATAAATACTATCTCAAATGATTCAATATTCAATTCGAGAAAAATTAATGACTAAAAATTTAGATTAATTTTTGAAAAACTTACCTTAACAATACAAGCTCTGCCATTTTTTATAGAAATAGGAAAGTTTAGTAAATTCTCTGGCAATGACGATTCCTTCCCAACTTGATTGACATTCGACTCTTCTCTTTCTTTCTTCTTCGCTGGCTCCGACGTGTCCATCGGCTCCTCATCATCTTGATCGAGGGGACGTTTGCTGGAGAGACGCGGAGATTGATCCACAGCTTGTGCGTAATTTTGGCATTTTTCTTTAGCCCATTCGTTGAGGCCTGGGACTGATATGACTACGAACGTCTGCCTTTCCGAACTCTTGTTGTTTTCGGACTCCAGGAGAATATCCTCGTGCTCCTGATTTGTGGACGAATGAGATTAAATACCGTTTTTGATGGAAAATTCATTGAAAATTATGCATTTGTTTAGAAAAATATGGGGTTTGTAGACAGTATTATACATGAGACGAGCAATTCTTCTAGTGTCTCACACCTTTTACTGACTTATTCATATTTATTTAGGCCATACATCTGCTCTGGAGCGTCAATTGATCGTGACGTAGATTTTTAAGATGTTCCCTGCTAGCCATTTGTTGTAGAGTTCAAAAATTGTTGTTTTTATTTCATCTTCAGTGTGAAAAATTTAACAGAAGAAGAATATTCTATTCTGTTGGATTCATGCATTCAGTCAATTGGAATTTTTCAGTCAAAAATATTGTGTTGAAATATTAAAAAGAATATAAAATGCAGTAAAATATAAAATATGTAAAAGAATATTTTATTTTATTTCATTCATCCATTCAATAAAATTAAATTTTTCTGCAAAGAATATTCAATTGAAAAATTGAACATCAAAATTGTTTCATTTAAAAATCTATTCTAATAGATTTCCTCAAAGTTATTCCCACTTAATATTTTTTTCATTTTTAGTAATAAAATGCAATGAGAAATACTTTAATGAATCATGCAGAGAATATTTTTCTATAAAATCATTCTCCTATTCTTCTTACTTTAAAAATCAAATCCTCATTTTTATTGAAAAATTGAAGAAACTTGAATAAAAAATAAAAATAATCTGATTTCTCTCTAAAAAATATTCTATTGAAAAATTGAACATCCAAATTGTCTAACTTCTCAGCAAATAGCTCTAGGTTTCCCCTTCAATTTTTCACAACTGATGATGAAAGCAAAAAATCAATTAATAAAATAACAGAATTTTTGAAATACCTGGCAAAGTGCAGTATCTCTGTACATTCCAGTCCGCATACTGCTCTCGCCACTGCTGTTGTCCCTAACCTCATACCTCTCAAAATAAAATTCAGGATTGTACATGTCCTGAATCATTCCCCTGAACCTCACCAGTTGCCCATCCTTGAGGTCATGAAGAGCTGAAGAATTCAGCGAAGGAATTCCCCCCGATTCGTTGATATTTGCAAGAGAGTTCTTGCATGATGTTCGATTCTCCACAAAATAATCGCACGTCCAGTCCGCCGCCTTGTGAGCTACACCAAACATTTTCCCTCATTACCCTAACTATCCACTAATTTTTGAGATGATAAAAACAACATTCATCTAATTGTAATTCTGCAAAATGAGAATTGGATGAATTTTTTTTCTTCCTCTCAGCAATGAAGACAAGAATGGAGATGAACCAGAACAACAGTTACACTAAATAATTATTAGAATATTAATATTAGTACTTACTAGCCATGTTACAGCAGCTTTCATTCACCCAAAATAAACTTGAAAATTGTTTTTAGTCATACAACATTTGAATGTTCTTAACCGCTTGAGTCCCGCACGTTTTCGCGATAATTCGCAAACGCAAAGTAGATGTGGGAGCCATCAACTGGTGTCTCCACTAACTACTCTTGGCCGGCAACCAATGAGATCAGAAAATCCAGTGATCTCATTGGTGAGCTCATGCTGGTTTCAATTGAAACCAAAGTTGAAAACCAGAGTTTATAGCAGAGCTGTGGCGTGCTAGGGCCTCTAAACATGACAAATGTCTCTAAAGATGATGTCTATTTTCAAATGAAAAGCAGAGTTGTGACAACATTGTCTAGGAGGACAATGGGGTCTAGGAGTATGTATAGAACATTGGGGTCTAGGAGTCTCCCATGGTTCAAAACTATCTTAAGAGGTCCTAGCACGCCATTTCTCGACCCGCTCTTTCGTTTGAGCCCAACAAAACATTCATATCTTGTCTGACATCTTTGCTACAAACTCGGGTCTTCAACTCGGGTTTTCAATTGAAAGCCCGAGTTGTAGACCCGAGTTTGTAACAGCGCTGTCAGACAAGATACGAATGTTTTTTTGGGCTCAAATGAAAGAGCGGCTCGAAAAATGGCGTGCAGAGGTCTTCAAAGATGACGAATGTCTCTAAAGATGATGTCTGTTTTCAATTGAAAAGCGCAATTGTGACAACATGGTCCAGTGGATTCTAGGAGTCTCCCTTGGTTCAAAACCATCTTTAAAGACCTCTGCACGCCATTTTTCGAGCCGCTCTTTCATTTGAGCCCAAAAAAACATTCGTATCTTGTCTGACAGCGCTGTTACAAACTCGGGTCTTCAACTCGGGTCTTCAACTGAAAGCCCGAGTTGTAGACCCGAGTTTGTAACAGCGCTGTCAGACAAGATACGAATGTGTTTTTGGGCTCAAATGAAAGAGCGGCTCGAAAAATGGCGTGCAGAGGTCTTCAAAGATGACGAATGTCTCTAAAGATGATGTCTGTTTTCAATTGAAAAGCGCAATTGTGACAACATGGTCCAGTGGAGTCTAGGAGTCTCCCCTGGTTCAAAACCATCTTTAGAGGCCCTAGCACGTCATTTCTCGAGCCGCTCTTCCATTTGAGCCCAAAAAACATTCCTATCTTGTCTGACATCTCTGCATCTCTACAAACTCTGGTTTTGATTTGACCGTGCCATCATACGTGCCATTTTTAAAACAACAAAGATTGCACTCACCAAATTATCACCAAAAAAACAATCTCTTCCCGTTATAAATCTGATAATTCCCCCTCCGCCAGTCACACCGCCGCCAGCATCAGTGAGTCACGTCCACAAACGTCAACAGCCGCTCCAAAATGCTTATCAATCCCCCCCACGTTAAATCCCACTAAAAATGTACAGTTCCCCGAAGTTTATCAGCCAAATGTCACATCCCCCATCGACTCCGGAATTGCTTCCAACCCCATCAAGCCCCCGAAACGTGGAAAAACAAGTGCAAGTGATCCTAACCTCCACACGTGAACCTCCAATTGGCTAAAATGTGTCAACAACCCCTCTATTCCCCCCAAATTCACTGTTTATCGTGACAAATTCAAACATATGAATTTATTCTCCCGTTTATTCGCGTTACGATGGCTCCTGTGCGGTTCTCCTCAGCATGATGTGACGGAATTCAGAGAAACGTCAACAGTTAGCTAGTGCTGGTGCATGCCCTCACAATTTAATTTAAGAATATTCCCTTCGTCCCATTAATTCGTTTAATTTTGTGACTAAACCAATCCGTAATATCCAGTTGATATTGAAATTAAAAAGCAAAATGATTTCTCATATTTCCCACGTTATGACCCTGGCCAACAGTATCATTGGAGTGAGTGTACTGGCAATGCCCTTTTGTTTCAAACAGTGTGGAATTGTTCTGGCAACCGTTGTTCTACTACTCTGCAGTTTACTGTCGAGACTGGCATGCCATTTCCTGATAAAATCAGCTGTTATGTCGAGAAGGAGAAATTTCGAATTTCTGGCATTTCACGCTTTTGGTCACATGGGGAAGTTCCTGGTGGAACTGTTCATCATTGGGTTTTTGCTGGGGACTTGCATCGCTTTTTACGTCGTCATTGGTGACCTTGGGCCCCAGATCATTGGGAAGATGCTGAATAAGAATCCGGAGGACATTAGGATGAGCTTTCTTCTGACTACTGGAGCACTGATCGTTCTGCCTCTGGGGCTCCTCAGGAATATTGATAGTCTCTCCAGCATTTGCACGGCCACTATAGGTTTTTATATCTGTTTGGTGTTGAAGGTATGTTGTATTTGCATCTTCTGAAGGAATATTTTTTATTTAATTTAATTTTATTTAATCTAAAACGTTTAATTGAAAGCTTTCGTTGGAAATTTTTATTAAAATTCCATTTGCTTTTTGCAGATTTGTAGACAAATACGGTTTGAGATAGTCTAGAGTTTTTTTTACGCAAATCAAGTCCATCAGTTAAATTCTATGTTTTCATTCTTCTGTAGGAAAACTATTTTGATTAATTGAATTTAATTTAATGTAAAACGCTTAATTGAAAGCTTTCGTTGGAAATTTTTATTACAATTCCATTCGCTTTCTGCAGATTTGTAGACAGATATTATTCAATTATGTTCAGATCTTGGGAAAAAGTCAATAGATTTTTATTTTTCGGTTTGAAATAGTTTCGATTTTTTTTTACGTAAATCAAATTAATAAATTAAATTCAATGTTTTCATTCTTCTGTATTGAAAACACTGAACTTAGTTTGGATTTAAAACATTTAATTGACAGTATAAATTGTACAGACAAATCATCTATTCACTTTTTTGTTTGAAATATTCATCTTCCTATTTACGAATAATATGTCCTTTCACGTGTGAAAACATTTAATAAAAAATCCAAGTGCTGTTTCCAAGAAATTCTATTTCTATTCATTACATTCCCCTAAGAATTCTATTGGAATTCCATTGAATTTTTTCATCCAATTTCATTTTTAATTGCACAATTTTCAATGAAAGTCAGAAAAAAGAACAGTTGAATTTTTCAGCAAATGCTCTTCACGCCTGTCAACAAGAGGAATTCTTAACACCATTGTTATCATCCCCCATTATTTATTGCAGGTGATAATAGAATCAACGAACCATATTTTCAAGGGTGATTGGTACGACAAAGTCAATTACTGGCGACCTGCTGGCATTCTCCAGTGTCTCCCGATATTCTCAATGGCATTATTCTGTCAGACTCAATTGTTCGAAATTTATGAATCGATTCTCAATGTTTCGTTGGAGAAGATGAACCTCGTGGTGAGGGGAGCACTCAATATCTGCACCATGGTGTACCTGTGTGTGGGATTTTTCGGATATATCGCATTTTGTACAGAACCTTTTACAGGAAATATTCTCATGATCCTCGAACCAAGTGCAACATCAGACATGATCAAAATTGGATTTGTACTCTCGGTGGTATTCAGTTTTCCTCTAGTGATATTTCCATGCCGAGCGAGTTTAAATTCCCTCCTCTTCCGACGAGGGCACACGCACGAGCAAACAAACAATTACATTCCCGAAATGAGATTCAGATGCTTGACATTGATCATCGTGACAGTGGCACTGATCACTGGAATACTGATGCCAAATATTGAGTTTGTTCTTGGTCTAGTTGGCTCGACAATCGGCGTTATGATTTGCCTGATACTCCCCACTACCTGTTTCATCGTAATCAGTACAAAGAATACGAATGAGCGACTGCTGGCACAAGTTATTTCCTTCATTGGCATTTGGATTATGATTCTGGGGACTTACGCCAATTTGTATGCCATGGAGGAAGCCTCAATCTCGAAGATAAACGTCAACACAGGAAAACCTATTCTTCAGATGAATAATATCGAATTGAATTTGATTAAAAGTAATGATCAACTGCAAAATATGAGTGAGTCTCATCAGATTTATCTCTCAAAATTGCGCAAATCGATGATCTGCAGTAGAATTTTTAAAAAACCATTCCTTAATTTCAGAAATACTTCAACCAAATTTCCAAATCGACGTTGGAAAAATTCCCGACATGATGAGTATTCCCCCCGAGCCGAAAGAAAATATCCAGCAAATCGACAAGATCGAACCATTGGAGCCTGAGAATTTGAAGCCTGAAGTCCCCGCGGAGCCGATGAAACCAGCAGGAGAAGCAGTGGAGCCCCAAGGAGACCCACAAAAAGTGGAAGAGAAAATAAAGCAGGACCAGCAGGCGAGCGAAATCCTGATAAACTCAGAAGCAAAGAAGAACGAAGATGCAGGAGTGACTCATACCAATGGGAAATTAAATCCAGTGTCCAACGACGAAGTGAAACAACACCATTTCCTGAAGAAACTGGAGGAACACAAAACTGACATTCGCAAGTTGATTGAGGAGCAGAAGGTTCTGCTGCAGGACATCGAGCACCACCAGGAGGAGCTGGAGATGGAGAAGAGAAAACGGCTGAAGGACAAGGAGCCGATCCAGAGTGAGGCCCATGCAAACGAAAAAATCGATGATTTATCAAAGAATAACGAAAACAGTCATGCGAACAATGAAATTCCCCAGGTGCTGGAGTCGAATATCAAAGTAATGTCGACAAATTCTAGTGTGAATAGTAAAAAAGAGAGGGATGTGAGTGGAAATGTTGAAAGAATGGAAAATGTCGCTGATTTTAAAACAATCGTGAATTCATCTGCGAATAAAGTTCAAAATTCAACCAATTTTAATGCGGAATCGGTGAATGTGAGCTCGATAGGGTCTAGGGGTCCTATTGTGAATGTCCTGACCAATTGGACGGCCACGAGGAGGGACTCACAAGTGATATCGAGCCCTGGAAACCAATCGCAGGATGTTTTGATTAAGGATGAAGTGGAGGAGGCTAAGAAAACTGTTTATCATCAGCTACCGATACCTTTGAAGTTGATCAATCAAACGAAGGAGAAGGGCGATGATGGGAAGAGTCAGCCGGTTCAACCAGATGTCAGGGAGAATAGTCGGGATAAGAGGGATGTTCAAACTAGTGGGAGTGTCGAGAGCGAGCGTCGTTATGAGGAGGAAGAATTAGGGAAAAATGCATCAGCGAACTCTCTTGACGCTCATTCAATTGACGATGGGTATCAAATTTCGAAGAAAAGAGATTTGAAGGATTTAAAATGTTCGTGAAATTTAGGGTTTTTCATTAGTTTGAGTTTTTATGGTACAAAGTGAAGCATTTTTTTTTCATTATATTTATTTTTATTTTATGGTTACTCATAAAATTCTGAGAGCAATCTCTTAAAATTTAAATGAAGCTTATAAAGTTTCTAGAGAAAAAACTCATGAGTTATGTGAAAAAGACAGTCATTCTGACAATGAAATTGTCTTTAAAAAATTTCAGAGAATTCATGCTCAAGAAGGTTTACATAGTCATCATTTTTGTATAAAAAATTGACTTCTCTTGCTAAATATCTATTGAATAATCGTAGGAAAAATTGCATAATGATTAGTAGAAATCGACAAATGGTTTTTCCAGTCATTTTCTACTTTTTTTTTCATATTCTGCCGTAAATTTAATTTTTTATTATAAACATTGACTGAAGGCACTCGAAGTACCCATAAAGTGTTTAGAATTCTCATAAATCATGAAATTCAATGTACAAATGTCCAATCATCGATGCATACACGAAAAAATTCCATTGAAGAATCACACACCTGTATTGCGCAAAAAAATCAGTAGAATTCCATCTTTTTACGCAATTTGTTCTATTGAGCCATCTTCCATAGGAATCGACCTGAATTTTGTAAGTATTTTTGACTCTACTTTTTTCCCTTTTTATTGGAGAAAATTGGGCGGGAAAACTGAGAAAATTAACGAGCTGCAGAATTTTTCAATGGAATCGACCAAAAACTAATAGAAAATTCAATAGAAATTCCTATTAAATTCGCTAGGTTTTTTAATGGAATTTTGTCGTACGTGTGACCTCTATTTTTCTATCCCCACCAGAACCACGAGCTGATGAGCCTGTATCACCTCCAAAACTGTACAAAACCTGTAATATATATTTTTAATTGAAAAGTAATGAAGCGTTGATGCCCTGGTCTATTTATTCCCCACAGTAACTTCTCGAAGCCCACTAATGAGATCTATTAGAATTCTATTTGTTTCTTGCTCCAATTCTATTAGAAATGTGTAATCCTCACGTGGCGTTTTTCAATAGATATTTGCTCAGAGGAAGTACATATATGGGACATTCCATGTCAACTCAGCCACTCATTTTTCTGGTTCTCAGAATCCTGAATTGACATGCTCGCAGTCAAGTACTAGATAAGTTCCCGCTTTCCCTAAATTTTCGTTTCTATTCATTTCGTTTCTATAGAGAAAAATGAAAATCTATTGACTTTTTTTCTATCAAATCTATCTTCCCAAAATTACGGGGTAAAATTGCATAATCTTCAGTAGAATTCCAATAGAATTCTCATAGACTTCTGATAGAAATAGAATAACAGAATTTCTTGAAGAAAGTGCTAGGTTTTTCTATTAATTTGTTTTGAGAATTCTGTAACAATTCTATTGGGAATATTTCTATAAGAATTCATAGACAAGAATTTTCCAAGTTTTTTTCTTGCATTTTATTCCAAGAAACAAACGAAAATCCAACGGAAAGAATTGGAAAATTCATACCCAACCATTTTTATTTCTATAGAAAAATAAAAATCTATTGACTTTTCTATCGAATCTATCTTCACAAAATTACGGGGTAAAATTGCATAATCTTCAGTAGAATTCCAATAGAATTCTCATAGACTTCTGATAGAAATAGAATAACAGAATTTCTTGAAGAAAGTGCTAGGTTTTTCTATTAATTTGTTTTGAGAATTCTGTAACAATTCTATTGGGAATATTTCTATAAGAATTCATAGACAAGAATTTTCCAAGTTTTTTTCTTGCATTTTCTTCCAAGAAACAAATGAAAATCCAACGGAAAAAATTGGAAAATTCATACCCAACCATTTCTATTTCTACAGAAAAATAAAAATCTATTGACTTTTCTATCGAATCTATCTTAACAAAATAACAGTGTAAAATTTCATAATCTTCAATAGAATTATCGCAAAAAAAGAAGTTTAAAATAAAATTCTAATGGAAATTCAGTAGAATTTCTCAAAGAAAGCGCTATTTTCCCTTGAATTTTTTCATAAGTGCAACCATCACGAGCTGACGAGCCCCTATCCACCCCAAAACAATACAAAACTCGTAACATACATTTTTAATTGAAAAGTAATGAAGCACTGGGGCTACCACTGGTCTATTTATTCCCCGCAATAACTATCGAAACCCACCACTCGTCCATTATGGATTTTCCATGTGTTGTCGATCGATGATTAAAATTATATTGCAGCATTGATTGTGGGAGTTGGGTGGTATTTTCAGCGGTACGTATGAGAACACAAGCGTCAAGGTAAAGGTAGACGAGCGCTGCCAACACATTCACTCGGTTGGCGGTTGTTCCATCAACAACAAGCATCACTTGAATTGAAAAAAATGTTGTCACGCCGATTATTTATTCCCCCACTTGAGCAGTAATTCAATTCTTCGACATTTTCGTTGAATCTTCACCTCAAACAACAGTTCCAGCGACGCAACAATGGATTACAAAGAGGTAATTCTGTCATTCATCCTCTCTTATTTTGAAATATGAACGCAGAAAATAGCAGAAATTTTTTTATCAATTTTTTTACCTCAACGAAACCTCAATTCGTCCTTCAAACGTCTGGGTAATTTGTTTTAATTAGTCTGTCGTTGCAATTTCAGTTTTTATGGGGGTTTCATTTTTTCTCCGCGATTATTGTTGCATTAGAAAACTAGTATTATATTCAAACCCTGACATGTACCTCATATTGATTGACCTCGCTGCACAGTGCAACGTACTACTTAGTTGTTCTCCAAACATCGAACGCACTTTCAGTTGGAAAAAAAGTTATTCCCCTGGGGGTTTTTCGTTTTTATTTGCAGTCCACAATTCGGCCTCTTCATCATCAATTGTTCATTATTAATATTGAGTGGTGATCGGGCAAAGGGGCTTACGAGCACTATCTAGGCCGGGGAGAGTGTCCATGCGCGAACGAAATTGGGGAGGGGGTAAAACGCAATGTTTTTAATTTTTAATTTCTCGGGACTGGCTGAGTGAAACTCAACGACTTTTTCTTTCATTTTCAAGGGTTTTTTTGGGGCTTAAAATGAGCTTTGACTCGTCGAAATCGGATCGTTGAGTCGGGAGATATGGGGGATTGAATCAGGGTCGTTTTACCGAATTCCATAGGGGCGGGGGTGAAACGAACCTTTTTCGATCGTCAATTTCTCGGGACTGGCTGAGTGAAACCGGATGACTTTTTTTTTCAAATTTCAAAGGTTTCTTGGGGGTTAAAATGACCTTTGACTCGTCGAAATCGGATCGTTGAGTCGGGAGATGTAAGGGATTGAATCAGGGTCGTTTTACCGAATTCCATAGGGGCGGGGGTGAAACGAACCTTTTCCGATCGTCAATTTCTTGGGACTGGCTGAGTGAAACCCGACGACTTTTTTTTTCAATTTTCAAGCGTTTTTTGGGGCTTAAAATGAGCTTTGACTCGTCGAAATCGGATCGTTGAGTCGGGAGGTACATTAGGGGATTTAATGAGGTTCGTTTTACCGACCTTCCCCTGGTGTCAAACGTGTGTCAAACGTGTCAGTACGATGATGACTCCGAAGATGAGATTAATTCTCAATTCCGGAATGTTCTGCGATGGTTGAAAAGGGGGAAATGTGTCGTTGAGTTATTTTTTTATCGAATTGTGCACACTTGAGCACACGAGTGTCACGGAATACGTGATGAGCGGGTGAATGGACGATCAAACATTGACAGTTGGCGGACGATAAAAATTCTTTGAGGTTAGACATCACATGGTTTCTTACTACTGTTGTAAAATTGATTGGGCATTGTTGAGTGGATGGTTGTTCGAACGTATGGAAGGAATAATTGTTGAGTTTTCGGAGAGAAAATGTGAATAAAATGGGAAGGGGCTGGGACTCGCAGTGACGGCCGTTGCGACTGAATGATAACACGGAAATGTGTTTACGTGTGAGAGTAAGAGCATTCAATAATTCATATTTTTTTTGGCACTTATATGCACGTGTGAAGGAGCTCAACAGAAAAATTCAGCGCTCTCGCTGAGAAATTCTGTTGGAGTTCCGTTGAAAAATTCTATTTTTTTGCGACAATTTTGTTGAAGAATATTAAACTCAGGTAGCAGTTTATTATGTTGAATTCTTATTCATATTGATTCATGGTCCCGACTAACTTCTGACAGAACGTGGGTTAAACTCTGGCTAAATCCTGAATAAACCCTGATTAAATCCCGGCTATAGGGGAGAGTGGGGTAAAATGGACACTAGACTTTTGTTTTAATTACTCATAACTCAGAAACAAATTTATCAATTCAGCTTATTTAGGCTCATAATTATTAACTATCATTGTTAATTATTTTAATTGATTATTATTAAAATTATTATTATTATCACTATTATTATTATTATTATTATTATTATTATTAAGTTTTATCAACATCTCAACTCGTCATTAACATTTAAAAAAAAGTCAAAAGTGTCCATTTTACCCCAACCTCCCCTACACTGATTAAACCTTGATTGAACCTTGAAACCGAATTCGAGTCTCGAGAGGGTCTGAATGTAGAATTATTTGACAGAACGAAATAATACGCAAAATTTTGATGACATTTCAATTGATGATAGTACTATGGCATGAAAAAATAGAAGAAGAGAATAGCGAAATAAGAATTTAAAAAAGAGAACCCATTCGAAAACAAATTGCTAATTTAGGGGAGGGTAGGATAAAATGGACACTTTTGACTTTTTTAAAAATATTCGCAACTCAGAAACAGATTTATCAATTGAGCTCAGTCTAAGCTCATCACAAAGAGGAATGATTGTTTTTCAATTGAAAAATAAAATTATTCCATTTCATGAACAATTCAACACGTCATGAATATTCAAAAAGAAATCAAAAGTGTCCGTTTTACCCTATCATCCCCTATTATCAAGAATAACTGTTCTCATTTATAAAAAATGCAGTTGTCCACTTGTTTTATTTAAAATGATAGAATCGTCATAATTAATTTCCAGTTGGAGAAAGAAAAAGTCGAGGAGGAGATGTGGCTGACAACGGGCGAGGCGGCGAGCCTCGGTGCTGATGAGGTAGCAGCAAGACTGCACGTTGACACGAGAAATGGCCTTTGGTGGCAAGAAGCCGAGCAGAGAAGAAAATTAGTAGGATACAACGAATTAACGGTCAAAGAGGAGGATCCAACGTGGAAAAAATACATCGAACAGTTCAAAAATCCGTTGATTCTGTTGTTACTTGGATCGGCATTCGTCAGTGTGTGCATGAAGCAGTTTGACGATGCAGTCAGTATTACAGTTGCCATTATTATAGTTGTAACAGTAGCCTTCGTCCAGGAGTATCGTTCGGAGAAGTCTCTGGAGGAATTGAATAAATTGGTACCTCCAACCTGTCATTGGTGAGCATTAAAAATTTATGAGGAACAAGAGAGGTAGTGATAATCATTATCTGTGAATAATCATTACGTATGGAAAAATTTTAATGATAAAATCTGTTGGAATTCCATTCTTTAGTCAATTGTAAGATTTCTTTCTGTGGTTTTTCCAATGAAACAAAATTACAACAGTACATTTAGAAAATTTTGTTTTTCTTGGATTTCAAAATGAAAAAATTAAAATGTAATGAAAATATCAGACAAATTTATTCCGAAAAGACTGAGGGAGTGTTTTCTCGCAATTTAAGCAGTATTGTTATGCTTCAAAACCTATTAAATCAATGGAAACCTATTTTTATGCCTCAAAATCTATTAAATTTTTTTCATACGTTCAAAAACAACAAAAAAAAACGAAATAAAATACACGAAAAAACAATACCAAAGCCAATTAAAACCTATTTTTTTAATACTTCAAAACCTATTAAACCCATTACAACTCACAAAAACCTACTAAACTTACTAAAACCTATTAAATTCAATATTTTAATACTTCAAAACCTATTGAAACCTATCAGCACTTATGTTTTACACTTCAAAACCTGTTGAACCAATTCAAACCTGTTTTTATACCTCAAAACCTATTAATTTCTTTCATACATTCAAAAGCAACAAAAAAAATGAAATAAAATAACCGAAAAAAAAATTGCAGCCTCCGAGAAGGACGAGTCGAGACATTTCTCGCTCGAAACCTAGTCCCAGGTGACGTAGTCCTCCTGAACATTGGAGATCGTGTACCAGCAGACATAAGGATCTACGAAGCAATAGATTTATCAATCGACGAGAGTAGTTTCACGGGTGAAACTGAACCTGCGAGAAAATCAACAGCCCCCCTGCTGAAAAGCAATGGTCACACCTCGAAGAAGAACATTGCATTCATGGGGACACTGGTGCGTTGTGGGAATGGCAAGGGGATTGTCATCAACACTGGTGAGAAGAGTGAATTTGGGGAGGTATTCACCATGATGATGGCTGAGGAGGCACCGAAGACACCTCTCCAGAGGAGTATGGACATTCTCGGTGCCCAATTGTCCTCTTACTCATTCTGCATAATAGCCTTTATCATGATGCTTGGGTGGATCCAGAAGAAGGCGTTCCTGGAGATGCTGACGATAAGCGTGAGTTTGGCAGTGGCAGCCATTCCAGAGGGCTTGCCGATCGTCGTGACAGTCACACTGGCCCTGGGGGTCATGAGGATGGCGAAACGAAAGGCTATTGTCAAGAAACTCCCCACTGTCGAGACCCTGGGGTGTGTCAACGTCATCTGCTCAGACAAAACAGGAACGATAACTAAAAACGAAATGACAGCCACCATTATCGTCACTCCAGAGGGCTATGTGGCTGATGTCACGGGTACTGGTTACAATGATCGAGGAAAAGTTCGCATACGAAAATGTGATAGTGCAGATTCAGCAAAAAATTCAATTACTAATCTTCTGGAAGTTGGCTGTATATGCAATAACGCTGTCATTCAGAATGATACGCTGCTGGGGCAGCCCACGGAGGGGGCGATTGTGGCTGCTGCAATGAAGTATGGGATGTATGGAACTGCTGACAAATATCTCAGACTCCAGGAGTATCCTTTCTCCTCGGATCAGAAGATGATGGCTGTCAAGTGCATCTCAAAATACTCGGAGGACAAGCAGGAGATTTATTTTGTTAAAGGTGCACTTGAGAAGATTCTGCCACAGTGCACCAAGTACTCGAATAATGGACAGCTGTATCCACTCAATCAGAAGAAGGATCACGAGTTTTTGGCTGAGGCTTATGAGATTGGCCAGCAGGGGCTGAGGGTCATTGGATTGGCTCGTGGAACGTCACTGCAGGATCTGGTTTATGTGGGACTGATTGGAATCTGCGATCCTCCGAGGGAGGGCGTCAGGGAGGCCATCACTACTCTGGCTAATAGTGGGGTCAAGGTGAAAATGGTGACTGGCGATGCTAAGGAGACTGCTGGGGCCATTGCCAGCATGATTGGCCTTGACACTATTCACATGAAACTCATGTCTGGGGACGAGATTGAGGGGATTTCTGAGCCTGAGCTGGAGCAGGTGATCGATAATGTCAGTGTTTTTTATCGTGTCACACCCAGGCATAAGTTGGCTATTGTCAAGGCTCTTCAGAGGAATGGGAATATTGTGGGGATGACTGGGGATGGGGTCAATGATGGGGTGGCACTGAAAAAGGCTGACATTGGAATCGCCATGGGGAAGAATGGCACTGACGTCTGCAAAGAGGCTGCTGATATGATACTCGTTGATGATGACTTTCAGACCATCATCGCTGCCATCGAAGAGGGCAAGGGCATATTCTATAATATCAGGAATTTCGTCAGGTTTCAGCTGAGCACCAGCATCGCTGCTCTTGCTCTCATCGCTCTTGCCACTCTCATGAGCATTCCTAATCCTCTGAATGCCATGCAGATTCTCTGGATTAATATCATTATGGATGGACCACCTGCACAGAGTCTGGGGGTCGAGCCTGTTGACAAGGATGTGCTGAAACAGAAGCCCAGGGATACCAAAGAACCCATGATCACTAGGAGTTTAATTGTCAATGTTCTGCTCTCGGCTGCTATTATTATTCTGGGGACTCTCTGGGTGTTCAATCGGGAGATGAGCTCCATGGGCATCACTGCGAGGGACACCACCATGACTTTCACGTGCTTTGTGTTCTTTGATATGTTCAATGCACTCAGCTGTCGGTCGCAGGTGAATCATTTGGATTTTTTGGGGAAGGGAATTGGTAATTTTTTTTTTTTTTGGGTGCTTATGGAGGATTTTTTCTTTCAGACGAAGTCAATTTTTACCATTGGTTTTCTCAGCAATAAAATGTTCTTGGTTGCTGTGACACTGTCGGTCATTGGGCAGATGCTGGTGATTTATTTTCCACCGCTGCAGAGCGTCTTTCAGACTGAAGCACTCACTGCTAAAGGTGAATCAGACATTTTCTAATGTTTATGATTAAGAATTTTCTTAGGGAAAACAAATTATCGTCGGATTTGGGGCAGAATTTTTGTACATGAATAATGAAAAATAGAATTGTTCATGAGATTTTCTTAATTGAGATTCCAGATGTAATTTTTTGGATTTTATTGTGAGAAAAAATACAGCAGAAAGACTGGGACAATCAATTTCAAATAAGTTTCATGGAAAAAATCTCAATAGAATACATTTTTTGTAAAAATCCACATCAATTCACTTCTTTCTGATAACATTATCTCATTTCCAACAGAAATTCAGTTAAAAAAACTTCAACATGCTTGGACTTTAAGGAAACTTTAAGGAAATCTTGAGAATTTCAATAAATTTTTTTCTCATGACATGACATTCTCTCAATCGAAATTCCAGCTAAATTAATGTCAACGAATTTTCATAGAAAAAATCTCGATATTTCTTGCTAATAAAATTGCCTCTTTTTCACCAGAAAATTAGTAAAAAAACTTGAAGATTCTTCAACTTTAAGAAAACTTTAAGGAAATCTTGAGAATTTCATTTCAATAAATTTTTTTCTCATGACATGACATTCTCTCAATCGAAATTCCAGCTAAATTAATGTCAACGAATTTTCATAGAAAAAATCTCGATATTTCTTGCTAATAAAATTGCCTCTTTTTCACCAGAAAATTAGTAAAAAAACTTGAAGATTCTTCAACTTTAAGAAAACTTTAAGGAAATCTTGAGAATTTCATTTCAATAAATTTTTTTCTCATGACATGACATTCTCTCAATCGAAATTCCAGCTAAATTAATGTCAACGAATTTTCATAGAAAAAATGTCGATATTTCTTGCTAATAAAATTGCCTCTTTTTCACCAGAAAATGAGTAAAAAAACTTCAAGATTCTTCAACTTCAAGAAAACTTTAAGGAAATCTTGAGATTCTCAATAAATTTTTTTCGCACGAATAATTAAAAATGGGATTACTCATGAAATTCTCTCAAAATTCCAGACATAATATTTTTGGTGGGTCTCACATCCAGTGTTTTCATCATCAGCGAGATAAAGAAGTTCCTAGAGCGCCAGTGGGAGTCTCGACGAACGAGTGGACGGTATTACAGTAAGTCTGAATTGGACTTTGTATGACAGTTGCTGTCTGGCGAGGAGGAAAAAATGGATTAATGCTCGCGCCAAGTTGTTCAATCCAATTGTAGTTGAGGGAAAAAAAAAAGAATGGAAGATATCTCATCAGTTTAACACTCTCTGTGGCACACTGAATGCAGTGGAAAAAACTTAATTCTCTGGAAAACAGAAGTAGAGAAAAAAATATATATCTCGCCATTCGGACATGCTTCAGACGTATTTTGTGATCAGTACGTTGTCTGCATGTGTGTGCGAGGTGTTATTTTCCTGAGCACATGTTTTCATGAATGTTCTCTTATGATTATCGTACAAGTACATCGATGAATTTACAGAATACAAGAAGCTGAAAAACAACATCTCCAAAGTACATGGATAAATCTTTAAAACGAGGTAAAGCGTTTGTTTCCTCGATTCATGAACAACATTTGTTTAACTACTTTTGTCATCACGCGGAATGTGAGGACTTATTCAATTGCTGATTATGAAGTAAGTGATGAGCTTGCTTGTGGAAAATTATTGTTTTTTTAGACGTATGGCAAAATTTAGTCGAAAAATCTTGTCAAAAAGTCGATTTTTCTCGTCGACTCGATATTTTTTATAGGCAAAAGTCTGCAGATTTTGATTTTTCTAGAAGATTTCATGAGCAAGAATTTTCCGAATCGTTTTTATTTCATTTTATTATGAGAACGGAATGAAATTCAGCAGAAAAAATATGAAAAAGTAATGTCAAAGGATTTCCGTGGAGAAATAAAAATCTATGGACTTTCTCATGTGTGAAAAAAATTAATAGAAAAATTCTCTTAAAAATTGTACAGATGTGTCGTTTGTTTTTCAACAAATGTTTTTTATAGAGAAGAGTCTATAGATGTCGATTTTTCTATGAGAATTCTTGAACAAGAATTTTTCAAGTTTTCTTTTTGGATCTTATTATAAAATTAGAATGAAGAAAGAAATTAAATTGTATTAAAAAATATAAACAAACTAAAATTTAAAAACATAAAAATACCAGGGGAAAATCAACAGAATTATTCAAGAGAATTTTAACAGAGGCACTGGGTTTTTCCATTACATTTTTTCATACGTGGAGCTGATCAGAAAAAAATATAATGTACAGCAGATTGATTTTCCTTGAAAGTGGTAGCAATTACGAATGCTAGTATCTCATAAAATTCTGAAAATGTAGAACAGTGTCACGTTGAATTTCGAAACATGCTCATCGTCACGTATTGTTTTTCAAGTCTCACCAGGAACTTTCTTCACGTATTTGCTTCACGTTATCGATATTATGAGTGTCGCCACCGCACAGCATTCCATTTTTCTTATCAATAACGGAGGTGTATTTTCAGGTCTTTAATTCATACGATAATATTGAAGAGTAGAAATTAATTGTTCGCGTGTGAAAAAATTCAGTAGAATTTCGGTTGGAATTTCCTTAAAATTCCACTTGTTTTAAAAATTAAAAATCCTGCAAATTGGTGATTTTTCAAACAAGAATTTCAGTTGAATTCAATAGATTCTAAAAAAAAGATTTTTCGTGATTTTTTTCACACGTCTGCAGTAGCCATTTGAATTTCCAATGTTGCATCTCGTAAAATAGTTAATCCTGTCTAAATTTCAATGATAAAATACAAATGATTAAAGATAGAATTCGAAGAACGCACAATGAATGTTAAGAGATTGATAGCACATTTCCATAATCCTAACGAAAATACGAGAGTTCATCCATGGCATTTATTTTTACTCAAGAGATTATACATTAAGAACAATCGATTGCCTCTTGCAATGAATTGCAATTGAATTTTACTGTGAAGACTCTGTCATTCATTTTTATTCTCGTAGATTTTGACATATTTAAAGCAATTGATTCTCTCGCTTATTAATTGGAATATCTGAATGATGATGAAGGGCTGAATTAGTGATTCTCAACTGTGATTACAAAAATATTATCAACATTCGGAATTGGTGCTATGTAAATGTGGGCCTATCTCCACCGATATTGTTCGGCAGGTGGCGGGACAAATTGTCGGTGCAGAGAGGCTTGACAAATGTATCATTCAGTGGAGGGAATAATTATCGATTTCTACTCATAAATCGTGGCTGAATATTTGCTATCTGTACAGGATCACTGAATTTTAAACGCATTTCGCGACTTGAATATGAATATTGTGTTTTCTTTATAAGTCAATGAAAAATGGAGAATTGGTAAATAAAAGAAAATATTAAATGAAGAGCATTTCGATTTGCATACAATACATTATTTTTATTTCAGATTCTCTCAAATCCTATGAAATTTATAAGGGAACTGTTCATAAATTATTATAATTTATAAATGGTGATGATAAATTGATAATAATTTATGATAATTACCCCTTTGGGTTTCTATAACTACTCTAAACTACTCTAGTTAATTTATTAATCGATTCAATCCACTCATTAAAGTATATTTGTTTTTGTTAATTAATTGTCAATTTCTATTTATAAATCGTGGCTAAATATTTGCTATCTGTACAGGATCACTGAATTTTAACCGTATTTCTCGACTTGAATATAAATATTGTGTTTTCTTTATAAGTCAATTAAAAATGGAGAATTGGGAAATAAAAGAAAATATAAAATGAAGAGCAGTTCAATTATTATTGGAGTTATTCAACTCGATTTGTATTCAATACATTATTATTATTTCAGATTTGCACAAATTCCAGGAAATTTGACACATTGATTTATTTATTGGTGAATAAATCGATGGAATTTATAACGGAATCATTCATAAGTTATTAGAATTAATAATAATTAATTCGGGTTTTCTGGATCTATTCTAAACTATTCTGGTTAATTCATTCATCCATTTAATCTATTCATTAGGGGAAATTTGGTCTTGTTAATGGATGCCTTCCAGAGCGCTGTACGTGCGGTATTGATAGAGTTCTGGGCCACCGTATCCGTACAGCAATCTTCCCCGGCCATTCTCATCGTAATACGGGTAACGATACTTCGGCCTGCGCATCATATCAAAATTTACGTCATGCGTAACTTCTTCAAAAACTTGATTCTACACTACGAAAAAATTTAATCGTAATCCTAGCGCTTTCTCTTTGGAATTCTACTGAATTTCTGTTGAATTCTATCAGAATTTCATTAAAAAATTATTATTATTATTATTATTTTTATTTTTATTATCAATTTTTTTTCAAGATTGAAAAAACGTATTATGAAAGGAAAAAATTGAAGTGCTCGGGATTTGAGGAATTGAAGAATTTGTTAATAACGGTTTATAAAACCCAATTTGATTAAAAAATAATCATGTGCGTTTTTCAATAGAAAATTTTTCGTAGAAGAAAATTATAAAAATTCTCTGGGTTTTTTCCCTTCATTTTATTATGAGAAACGAATAAAAATGAAAGGAGAAAACGTGGAAAATTTACGCTGAAGAATTTCTATAGAAAAAAAAAATTTTAATTTCTATAGAAATTTAAATTTATAGACAAATTATAGTTTATTTATTTGACTTTTTTCTATTGATTATTTTTCAACAAAATTACGGTATTTTTCAATGGAATTCATATATACTGGAATAGAATTTATAGAGTTCAAAATAATTTCCTGAAGAGAGAGCCAGATTTTTCCATTAAATTTTTTCACACGTCAACATTCTCTTACCTTTCGAAGTACTGAAAATTGGGGGCTTTGGGTTCCGCGATCGTAGCCGTATTCCCCGGTATCACGGCCATCACCATCGCCAAGAGGAACATCACTTTCAACTGGAAAATATCAAAACATGAAACACGATTTTACTTTTCAGTTTACTTTGGAATTTTTTTCACTTGGATTTTTACACAGTTAAAGTTCTGAGTTCAGTAGTTTCGTTATGAAATTGGGAATAATGTGAATACAGACTTCAATAAGCTCTATTCATATTGACACCAATTAAAATTCAGTTTTTCATATAGATTGGAAAAAATTAATATTTTCCGAAAAATCGATTTTTCAACGATCACTCAAAAAATTGTCATTAAAATGGAATTAGTCAGGGCTAAAAAAATTGATAACAATTTTGTTGATTGTATCAGAATATGACGGGGGTCACACAATTCGTTATTGAGTTACAGCCATTGTTTACGCGATTTGAAAGAGAAAATCGGTTTTTTCACGATTACCGAAAGAATCGTCAGTAACAGCGATTAAATCAGGGCTTGAAAAGTATATTTCAATGGCTTCTTAATCAAGTTGAAAAATGGTGAGAGCAGCATCATTGCTTATCAAGTTACACAATACCGTCATGAGCTTTTTATATAATTTTGATGACACTTCAATTGATGATAGTACTGTAACACGAAAAAATAGAAAAAGAGAATAGGTAAATAAGAATCTAAAAAAAGAGAAACCATTCGGAAGCAAATTGCTAATTTATTCGAAACACTAACTATACTCATTTATAAAAAAAATGCAATTATCCACTTGTTTTTGCTTTAGAAACTATTAAAGATTGGAAATGCATGGTAATTTGTAAAAGGAACGGGAGCCTTTTATTATTATTATAATAATTATAGTTCGCGGAACCGTTAAATACACCATTTATACCGTTATATTTCAAACATTCTTGTTTGGATTTCACGCAACTGAATTTCCCATTGAGTTCAACTATTTCGTTTATAAATAGAAAATATCAGTTTTTAAAGTCCACCATTACTTCAAAAATCGTCGAATATAATTCTACTATTTATTATAGAGAGAATATACTTCAAATATCCACTACTCACGAAAATCGTGGGTTCCATGGTGTTTATGGATCACTAGAATTTTCCCGATTTCAAGGCTTTAGCTCTGAGAATATCTGATGAACACTGAAATGTCCTCACGATTGGGGCAACGGTTGGTGAAAGAGGTGAGACGATAGTGAGTCACTTGATGAATTCGTAATCACGAGTGAAAGCAGGTCCGCCGCCATCGGCGCAGAAATGTGAATGCCTCCACGAGGCATCGATGGGGAAATAATTCTGGATTTTGTAATTATTTATGTCAACAGGGCTCATATCCACTTCAGTCTCGGCATTCGCCGCACTTATGATAGTTTATTTCGTCCTTGAGTTATGGGTGCACGGACACGTATGAAAAAATTTCATAGAAAAACCGGGCGACTCCGATAGACAATTCAAGAATATATTTTATTCTTTTTTTTTATATTTTATTTTTATTTTTTTTTATATATATTTTTTTCTGTTTTGGAAATTCTGTTGGATTTTTATTGAACTTTCTATTAGTTTTTGGCCGATTCTATTGAAATGTTCTATAGAATTTGCTCAGCTCAAATTTTCAGAGTTTTTTCATTCTATGAAACATGAATAGGGGAGGTTGGGGTAAAACGGACACTTTTGACATTTTTAAAAAATGTTAATAACGGGTTGAAATGTTGATGAAATTTGATAATTTTTTTTTCAATACAAAGAACAATTCTTTCCCTATGTAACGAGCCTAAACTGAGCTCAATTGATAAATTTGTTTCTGAGTTATGAACAATTCGAAAAAGTCCAAAGTGTCCATTTTACCCCACCCTCCCCTATACGAATCATAAGTGTCCAAATAATTTAGGTCAGAGGACAATAGAATAATTCTACTTTCTTAATATTGCGTTTACTGAGGTTTTCTTCGAACAAAGTTGATTAGAATTAATAGCTAGAATTATGAGATTATCTCACATTTTTGACGTTAAGGATAGGAGAATCTGAATGCAATATAGTGAAAATGATGATCGATTTTTTCACTTTGAACAAATAATATTAATATCCAAATACAAAATTTCTGATGTGAATAACAAGAAGCTGTGACTCAATATTCCAAATGAAGTTTTAATTTTTAATTTGGTGCTGACAAACACGAGATGACAATATTCTAAGCACGGAATTATATTGATGAGATGAACAACAGATTAATTGAATTACCGTGTGAACTAACTAAAAATTGATAACAGTGTGGGCACGCACTTTTACCAGAGTATCAACAAACATTGAATTCCAGAAATTCACACTCCAAAGTGTTCTAGAAGGAATTGAATCGTAATTATGATTAAAATCTTATTCAGTGAGCGTAGGAATGAGAACATTCGCAAATCATTTATTGTAACATGGAAATTTGCTTTTGCAATGAGAATGATTACAAACAATTAGTTCGAAAAAATTATTTCATACGTATTGAACTTCCCGCCCAAGTGCACACTATATTTAAATGGCCGAACCATCCACAACAGAAACACACGTGCGCGCAGGCGCGAGACAAGCTGATGGGGTCTTCTGGATCGGAGTAAAAACACAGCTGGTCTGCAATACTCCGCCGCGATTGATTGCTTTCCCATGTGATTACCGTGGAAGGAAAGTCTCTCGATGGTAAATACCCCCCGAAAAATCGTGCAAAAAAGGGGAGAAATGGCCGCTTCAACCGCGAGGTCCACCACGTGTTTTTAGTCAGTGTTTTATGGAAATAATTGTACTTATTCCCATTGATTACATGTTTTTTCTCTGGACAAAGGAGTTTGTGTCGCCTGAGGGGAATACTTCATCGCTCTGGTGAGTAATGCACTGGTGAATATCTCGAAAAAGAATTTTCTCCGTAAGAATCAAATTATGAAAATGGATTTTTAATTTAAAAATCGGGGGAAGGCGCTGCCTCTGGGTGGAAAATTCCCGGAATATCGTGTTGATTATTCGTTTCGTGGCATAATTCACTGCTTTCGGTGCAGCATCTCGGAGTGTGTTTAATCAAGCTGAAACCCTCGAACAGCTCCAGACGAACGGGAAAAATTCCTTGTTCCTTTATCTCCTCGGGTTTTGATAACATTGTTATCTGGGGTCAATAGTCTTGCCTTGAGCTGTGCTCTTTGGAGTCTATTCTCTAGAGGGGAATTGCTCAGCTACCTGCAGTAAAACACGGTCAATATCGGTTGTTTTTGCTGGAATGATTGAGTGGAGCAACAACGATATGCACGAGGGGTTTTCAATTTTTTGGTCTCGTTACACATTTTTTCGAGAGAAAACACTTTGTGTTTCTCGTTCTGCAATTCTTTTTAGTCTAGATTTTTGTGCAGCTGAGGGGAACTTATTTATTTTGGATTTTAGGCGTAGATCGATAGCTAGAAGCAATTTATTGTTTTCTTGAGATACAAACGATCCCCTAAGGGAATTTATTAATCATATTTTTCCAGTCATTTTCGTTTTTGCTTCAATTAGTTGACGATAACGTGAATTAAACTATTCAATAACATGTACTCAACAATAATTTTTTATTCAATTTTTATTCAATTTTTATTTCTTCAATGATTGTCTGATTTTTAGTTCTCATTAAAAATTTTTTAGCAAAAACTTTGTATTTTTGCATTCCTCTTATTTCCCATTTTCGTGGAGTTGAAAAGAACTTATTTATTTTAGATTTTGGAATTAACTGACAATAACTTGAGTTAAACTATTCAATGATGTCAGCATGTTCACGAAAATCGTCTAAAATAATTTTTTATTCGTTCTATTTTGTCTAATGTTTTAATGTTAATCTGTTGTTTCAAAAATTATTTCAATCTGTCAGTCAATTCGTAGTTATTTCTTTTCGTTAATTATTCTTTAATAGTTTGGATAATTTGGAAGCAAAAAGTAACGGAAGTAATTGAAAAGTCGTTTCCAATGAATTAGTGAAAGAAATCCGTAATGGATTTTTAATGCACTGGAATGTTTTCGCGAAGGTCAAAACTCTTTTTCAACCAATTCCATGGACATTTCCTTCCTCATTCGGTGTCGTATCGATCTGTATACATTGCCTCGTGGCGACTCAGCTGTGGGGCTGCCAAGCCACGGTCACCATCTGTTCAGTTGTCTTTCTTACTCCTTCGTCACCGTACTGCATATACATTATTGCGGATGCCTAAGACTGATGGGTGAAAAAAATCCCTCTGGGAGATAAAATTAATTTTAGACACGCCTATAGGTGTACACGCACGAGAAAATTTAATAGAAAAACCTATCGAATTCGTTAGAAAATTCTATTGAATTTCTATTAAACTTTCTATTAGTTTTTGGCTGATTCTATTGACATGTTCAATAGAAAACATTCAACAGAAAAAGTCAACAGAGTTATATTTTTCTACATAACTTATTCTTTTCACATATTTTCTATAGAATTTGGTCCATTCAAATTTTCCAAGTTTTTTTCATTCTCTTTGTCTTTTCTTCTCATCAAGAAAATCAAACGAAAAAACTGAAAATTTGAGCTGAGGAAATTCCATAAAAAATATCTCAATGGAATAAGTTACATAGAAAAATTGAATTCAATTGACATTTTCTATTGAACAATTCAATACAAATTCAACAGAAATTTGGGTTCCCTATAGGCAGATGGACGGCTCAGAATTGCGTTTTTCCACTTCCTACACCCTATACCAAATGAATTAAATTAATTTTTTTTGGCGATTTCGTTTTTCGCGATTATCTCGGAAACTATGA